CGCACATGACGCTGTGACATAGGCTAGAATCATGGCAGCAGTCAATGACGGTCCAGGCGTGGGATTTCTCTCGTGGAAATATGCACATTATCTTTTCCTTTCTATTGGTAGGTTGCACAGTGCACTGTGGCAAGTAAGCAAGCTAGAAGACTGGCAAAGTTATGGAAGAAACACATTAACAAGAGAAGTCTGAGTAAAACCAAAGTTACTTTCCCTAGTAACTAGTTACTTTGAAAGTAACGAGTAACTTGAAGTAACTGAGTTACTTTTGAGAGAAGTAACTAGTAATGTAACTAAGTTACTATTTTAAAGTAACTTACCCAACACTGTTTATTTGTTCCTTCAGGTTTTCCTCCTGTGTCTTTTCATATGTTTCTGTTTCCATGTTTAGCTATTCTTCCTCACTTCCTGTTACTTATTTGTGTCCTGTCTGTTGTTTACGCCTCTGTGTCTCGTTACTCTACTACACATTCTACATTACTGTTCTGTTTCCACTCCATCTGATTACCCCTTCTGGGTATAAATAGCACTGTTTTTCCTTTAGTCTTTCTCACAGTGTCTGTTAATATCCCCTGTTGTTTCCTGTCAGGTGGTGTGCTTTAATTTAATTTCTTGTATTTTTTGACCTTTTTTCATCTTTTGAGCCTAAAATAAACGGCTGCATTTGGTCCTTCACGTTCAGAAAGGTCAATGAGTTCAAATTTCATTTAAAAGTAAACTAAGAGGAATAAAACCTAAAAGATATTTTCCATCCCTACTCAAAGACTGAACAAAACAAGACATAAACACAACAGTCGAAACTGTACGACACTAACAAATTTCCTGAAGCCTACACTACACATTTACATAACAATAGCGCCTCAAAATGGTCAAAAGACATTTCAGCCTTCAGTCTTACAGTGCTTACACTGTTTACATGCCTGTATTTCAGGTGTATGGTAATAAAACGAATACTATTAACTGAAGAGAATTCAGAGTGAAGTACTTTCATATCAGAGTTGTAAATGCTGCTGTATGCTTTTATCAGAACAGACAATTACATTTAGTGAAATCTGTCATTTGTCAATATGACGTCACTCTCATACAACTCAAGCTTTAAAGGTAAGAAAAAAACTTTGGTATATTTGGTCATTTGTTTTTTGTCAGCTGGAGGGAAAGTGGTGTGAAAAGCCTGTCATCAGTGTACGCTTTTCATGTAGACACACTAAAGTGATGAAAGCAGCTGACTGAAGTATGCTCAAACCCTGCATCCTTTCTCACCTCTGCACACCTTGCCAATCACTCTGTGAATTGGATGTGATTGCTGGCTTGGGAAAGTCGCCGAAATTGCCAGATGCTGTTCAGTCATCCACTTAATCCAGCCTCCTCACAACAGATGTTGAACCTGGCAAGCGTAGCTTCGCTCTCATTCAGCCACAAGAGCATTAGAGAGGTCCAACGCTGATGTTGGCTGATAAGTACATGGCTTAAAGTGAGGCCAACTTCTGCACCAGAAATGTTTTAGGTGACTCGGAGAGGAATGGAAGAAAGTTGGCTGTTAACCCAAAGAAGTTCAATTCAATTCAATTCAATTTTATTTATATAGCGCCAAATCACAACAAAAGTCGCCTCAAGGCGCTTCATAGATACAGAGAAAAACCCAACAATCATATGACCCCCTATGAGCAAGCACTTTGGCGACAGTGGGAAGGAAAAACTCCCTTTTAACAGGAAGAAACCTCCAGCATAACCAGGCTCAGGGAGGGGCGGGGCCATCTGCTGTGATTGGTTGGGGTGAGAGAAGGAAGACAGGATAAAGACATGCTGTGGAAGAGAGACAGAGGTTAATAACAGGTATGATTCAGTGATTTAATTTAAATTAAATATAAATGTTCACATCTAAATTTGCTCAATTTGTAATTCTTATAAAAGTTCAGACGTCTGATATCAGACATATCACACTGTTTTAAAACAGATCCACTTTTTCATTCACCCTTCAGACCCGCTGCAGTGAGCAGACATCCAGGAAACATGAGATGTGTTTATTTCCTTTTCTTTTGCAGTACTGAGTATTGATTCACTTCCCTCCCCACTAATCCTGCACCAAGTTCTTACTTTTCCATGATAAACAGGAAGTAACACTTTTTTAAAAGGGCTGTAATTCCTACCTTATACTGTGAACACCCCGGCTCATCTTATGACAGACATTGTGAATGAAAGACTGGTTGGATTTGCTGGCTGGCGTTTACCTTTGAATCAGCCATGAGGCTGTCCTGACCTCTGACCAAACATGTGGGATAGTTTTGTGGTCTGAGGTGTCCAGTCAGGTTTTTCCACCTTAAACTGGTTGATTGAGCTGAAATCTGCACTACTGCAGCGTGTAGTAGCAGTCCGGTTTCCCCATAATGGAACTAAATAGCATAGATGTACTCAGTTTGTATCATATCGTGTCCAGTTAGATGTGAATTTTCATCGGTTACGAGTTAAACTGAACTTCATGTCATGTTTTAATGTATTTCATTTTTTATTTATTTTCCAGACATTTTTTCAAAGGCGCTCTGATACCATTAAACATAATATCTACCTGCTGGCATAGTGGCAGCCCTGATACAGTAACTATGGGTAAGTTTTAACTAAGTAATATGAACTGATTTTTTCCCTCTCACCCTGTGCATCACCACTTCTCTGTGTGCGTCACACATCCATTAGCCTTCGAGATCTGGTTGTATGTATTTTTCATGACGCTAACATGCTGGGGCTCCAGCGGCTCGTATCCATTTTCAGCGGCATGACTAAGGCTTTGCATTTACTCCCCCTAAGAAACTTGAACAGACTCAGAACACAGTGTTTCATGTTTCTATGCGGTGATGTCACTGGAGTGCACACAGCCTCATCAAATGGGTTATACTAGTAATTATTGGTAGAACTTTAAGCAGTTCCTTAAAAGGACACATGAGGCTGTCCCCAAACATTAGTGACCCCCATAGACTCTTCTGTCAAAGTGCACCTATCAGCCCACTTGGACTGACAGGTGCATGACACAAGCATTACCTGACAAATATGTTATTGTCACGGTCCTGGGTCTGTGACCCAGTGTTTCTGTATTACTATTGAACTTTGATTTTGTCATCGTTTATCTTTTCTTGTCTTTTAGTCTGTGTCTGTTCTGTTTCCTGTTTTACTTTGAAAGTCTGTGTCCTATGTCAGTGTATTGAGTTTTGCTTCTCCTTGGTCTTGACATGTCTGATTACTCCCAGCTGTGTTCCCCTTCTGTGTCTCATTCCCTCGTTATCCCCCTGTGTATTTAAGCCTTGCATTTCCCTCTGTTAGTCGCTGGTTCATCTGTGTGTCTACCCCTGTATTTCTGCTGTGTGTTTCTCCCGGTTCCAGGTTTCTGTTCCTTTCATTATTATTTTGTCGCTGTTCCCAGTGTAGGTTTTTGTTAGCATAGTTCCCTGCAGTGCTCTGCTTTGGTTTATATTTTGCCTTTCTTTGTTAATGAACTTTCTCACAGCTACGCTGTCGTCCGTGCCTGCGTTTGGGTACAAATCCTCCTCCTCCAGATGATCTGCCTCCCAGATTGTGACAGTTAGATCATACAAGAAGATTGTCGGCTGGTTTTATTAAATTATATTTTATTTATCTTGTTTCATTTCTTATTATCATCTTGGCCTTCACATTAATAGCTTAGCACGTCCTTTCTTCTTTACACCCATCGTCTGATACTTACTGGAGTCCAGTTTATGGGGACAACAGTCTGATGCCCAGACCACTCTACCATGAATTATTCCAAAGCCTGTAGAAATCTGCCCCAGGGCTTCGATCTGGTGGGACATTTCCCCATCACCTCACATGCCTCCAATACTATCAGACAGAGTGAGCCTCACTCTGTCTTTAAGGCTGAGCCCAGAGTCTCTGCAGAAAAGCTGGATCTGCTTGTATCCCCAGTCTCAGTCTCCTGGTTCTAAGACAGCAGACAGTAGTGTTTTAAAAAAACTGTGACAGCCTCAGGTTCTTCTTTGGTTTTTGTGTCTCTTAGCTTCGTAAGGTTTCTTTTCTTCACTTCTACATATGAATTAAAGTGAAGTAAGTCTAGTCTACTCTAGTGGCTGTGTATATTTCCAAGGACTAAACAGAAAGATTGTAAATTGTGGAGTAGATGAAAGTGACTCTAAAAACATTATTCAGACAGCTCGCTTTATGATATAGACTTTGTCTGGATGGACATATTTGCCATTTCCCCTCCAACATTAAATACCCCACAGTGCAGTGTAATGTGCATGAGTTTAAACTCCATCCACAATATGAAGAGCAAAACGTGAATGGGTCTGAATTGATGGGCTGCAAAATGATACTTTTTGGATACTTTCTAATGCTTTTCTTCTTCCTGCCTTCAGCAGCTTTGGGAGACATTTTCATTCCTTTTGAGAGCCGATGGTAGAAAGGTGAAGGAAATGAGGTGAAAGAGAGGGGATGACATGCAACATAAGTTCTCCAGGCAGCCTCCAACCACACACACTGCAATTACATGGTGACTGCCTTAAGCCCTGAAGCCTGTGAGTGCCCCTAAGTCTGCTTAACCTCCCAAGAACGCATTTTTCAAAACAGAAATTGCACAAGTGCTTCCTCTCACTATTACATGAGAAAACAGCCTAATATATAGCCACCACCTAAAGCACACCTTACAACATGTATCCTAATGTGGAAATTTGAATTGTGCTCATCCCTACGGTCCAGGCTCCTTGTCACTCACAATAATTGTCTGTATATACGTCTGTGTGGGTCTATTATCTTAGTGAAGTGTTTATTTTAAGATTCAGGCCTCAAATCTTTGCACAGTGCCGCATGTTCTCCTGTCATTTCCACGGGGGAATTAGTTAGATCCCATTTGTTCGAACAGCCTTTTGTCTTTAATGATGAGTGGGATCCCTGATTGAAGCGCACCTTTATAACATGGCATCCTACACAGAGAGAATACAACAAAGGAGGAAAGGTTAGATTAAAGGTCAAACACCCATTTATTCTCATCATTTGTCTTTGCAGGCCTGACTGCCATGTACAACAGCACAAGGACAGAATCTTACATAACAGCCTATTTTAGACCTCAAGTGATAAAAGAACACGTGGACAAAGCTCATAACACAACTGCAATATAAAGGTGTCCTTCCCAGAACAACGAGTGTAAAAAGTTTAGCTAGAAAAACAACAGTTAATGGATTTAAATCCAGTCCTCTGAGAATGTAGACAGAACTGTGTCAGCTGTTACAGCTGCTCTCTGCCAAAGTCTAATCTGCCCTTCCTGGTCTGGTTTGCACCTTACTGTAAATCTTCTGTATTTACGTGTAGACATTGATCGGCCTGAGATACGCCCACCTCCTCAAGAATGTTCTTGTTGTGAAGTTGTTTTTCTTAACCATGGAGAGGTAGACTTTTTGGTATTGCTGACAAGTTCAACAGTTAATGCAATACTTTGGATAAACCCCTTGAGTTAAAGCTGAAAGTCTGCACTTTAATCATATTTTGACTGTTTGATTTACAGTTCTCTGTATCATCATAGAGCAGCAAGATTACAAAAACGATATCATCGTCTAAAACCTCACGTTGTGGTCAAAAATTTGCATACACTCATCATGGTCATGAATATCATGGTAAGTCTGGGCTTTAATAACTTTAAACAACAAGAATTTGGAGCACGATCAAAAGAAGCCTAATGGATGATTTCTATGTAACTGCAGACTCTCAGATCTGTAACTGGACATAAGTATGATGTGTCAGCATATTTCCAAGGTCTGTAGGACGACCAAATCTGTCACCCAAACAGGAATCTGTTTAGGAACAACCCAGGAACCAGTAAGCCTTAAATCTTCCATGAACTGGCAGCTGCTGGAGCACCAGCACCACGAGTGAAGCCAGTTACTGTAATGGACTGATTGTGCCAACCAAGAATGAAGCCTCTGCTACAAAACATACATGAGCTCGACTGACATGTGCAGCCGCCTTCTGGAGAAAGTTTTATGGTCAAACGAGACAAAGATTGAGCTCTTTGGTTATAATGACAAGACCCTGTTTTTATTTTGTTTCTTTTAACTCAAGATAATAACCAAGTAAATGCAGAGGATTTGATGCCAATTTTACAGCATAAGTGCTGCACATCAGCAGTAAATGTCAGCACTGGGTGTCAACAGTTCGCTCGTGTTCAGAGCTTTTTCTATACACCCACACTTTCCTGTACAGAAGGCAGACAAGTAAGTGTGCATCATTTGATGGCAGCTAATCCATCAAATTAGTTCACAGCTGTTCTGTAAAGGTCGTTCAATGGCAATAAAACGTACCAAAATAAATAAACCGTTGATGAGGTAGGTTAGAGGAAGGGCCTAAATACTAAAGATGTCCTCAAAGGGTTCAGAAGCCATGATCACAGCTACACTGTGTTTATCTCTACTGTCTGAGCAACAGAGCAAAGTCCACTTCCTTCTTCCTGTAAGATCAGGAGCTCTCCTACCCCCTGCTGCCCGTGGACCACAATGCACTGCTCTGCGCTTTCCGATATCAAAACCTCCACCAGCTCCTGTTCTGTCCCTGCAGGCAGCGAGCCCTCCGAGGTGAAGAGCAGAGGAGTGGAGCTTGGCGCTGACAGGTCGTCTGTGTGGACGTACACGACGGCGTGCTGGATGTTAGCTACGCTATCTCCCTCTCTTGAGTCAAGTGTCTTTAATTTTGCTTCCTCTTCTCCTTTTTCTTGTGATCTTCTCTGCTTGACCTCACCTCCGTCCTTCTCTGCTGTGCCCTGAGGGATGAAGTTCTTCTTGGGTCTGCCTCTGATTGGCTTTGGGTGACTGCATCCTGAACTTGCTAACTCTTGTGGAACCTCCTGATTTCTGGTGTGCATCTCCTCTCCACGTCCTTCTTCTTCCTCTTTTTGAACTCCTCCGTCTGTCCTGTGCTGAGCTTGGTGCCTCAGCAGACTTTGTCTCACAGTGTAAGAAGCGCCGCAGTGGCAGGTGTATGGTTTCTCCTTCATGTGGGCCGACTTCACGTGCCTCCTCAACTTGGTAGCCAACGTGTAGCCTAGACAGAAAATTCAAAAGTACATTTCAAATGCAAAGATTTACCAAACATGAATATACAATCTGCTGACTCAGATTAGCAGCTCGTAAATCAAAAGTATACCCTGCTTTATCCTCCTTTTTCACTTTAATGGCTGGTGTAGTATATCTATATATTTGTCAGGGTCAAACTTTAGCAAATTCAGAGCATAAAGTTACAGTTCAAGCTGCACAACATGTCTCTACACATGAGCTGAGCATGATTAATCCAAGGTCATCTGTCATCAGAAAAGCACAAAGAGCGGAAAACAAATTAAACGTGGATGATGGAAGATGAGCTGACTCGTTGTTTGCAGCTGTGTTACTTTTTACACCTGTATTGTTTTTTGTACAGTGGACGTCTGATTTCATAACCCATCATTATTTTTAATGCAATTTACAAAATCAAGAAAAATCTGATATATTACAGCCGTTGTATGTAAAGCACTCAAGGCCTGTGTTTATCTAAGAAATATGATCCTCTGGAAAAAAGCTTTAAACTAAGAACAGCTCATTATTCTCTGGCTTGTAGAACCATCTTTAGTAACTTGAAGAAATCATTTTCTTCATTAGTCTCTCACGTCGATGTGGAGGAGTTTCAGCTCACTCTTCTTTACAACATGGCTTCAGTTCATTGAGGACTGTCGACATTCATCTATCTTAAGGTCATGTTAGAGCATTTTAATCAGGTCTGGACTAACTGGGCCTGGAGTGCTTGGAATCTTTATCCTGCGGCCAAGCTCCATCTCACACACACCGACTGCAGAGTACTTCAGTGTACGGGGGAGGTCACGATCAACCGTGACTACAAGGTGCCCACCGCTCCACCACCCTGCCTGGCAGATGATGAGGTGTTTATTTCTCACCAGTTATGGCCAAACATGTCCTCGTATTTGTCCAAAGGACTTTGTTCCATGTTCTGTTTAGAGAGACGAGGCTTTCAGTTCAGTCTTTTTTTGATTTAACTGTCATGAACTTTTACATTTAACATACTTGTGAGAGCTGTAGAGCCTCAGGTGTAGCTGTTTGTCTGAGCTTTGCACAGTTTGAGCCTGGGTGGATCTGTTTGGATGTGCACTCCTGGGAACACATATCATATTAACACACACCTACATGCAGCACACTGTCAAACCTCCTGCTTTTAGGGAGTCAGGCTCACTTATACATTTGATCATCAACACCTGCCTCTTATTTAGGGTGCACTTGTTTCTTCACAGGACTGTAAAGAGTACTCTGAAAGTTCTTCTTCACAACACTAAATAACCCTTCATGTATCTGTCAGTAATATAACGTCCATGCTCACTGCTGTAAATACAAGAACAGAATTAAATGAGGTATAAATACATCTCAGTTGTCCGTGAGAGATAAAATGTTTCTTGCATGTGCTGGACATCAATAATAAAACCCTGAACTTGATGGATGCATACTTTCTGTTTGATGCTTCGTAAAAAGAAAGCTGGCCCAAGTTGTAACGAGTAGTTTGTGTTTTCCAGTCATGCATGCAGGACACAACGTTTGCAGATGAGTGAGACAAACGAGGCTATTTGGAGGGAAATTGTCCAACTTGCCTCATTTTAGGTTCAGCTGCAGTTTTTAACAAAAAAATAATTTCTAGTTCTTTGACAAAATAACAAAACAGAATATAATGTATATAAGGAGGCCTAGTGCTTGACACGCACTGTTGGTTATATCGATGCTTGTTTTGACTCTTAAACCATCTTTAAGTGGTTCACTGATCTGACGGATGGTAACACAGACACCAGTTTTTTCTTGTGGATGAAGGGTTAGCAGGTTTCTGAGATTGGTGCGGTGCTCTTACTGTTGGCTTATTTATTCGTCTTTTCAGGCTCGTAAATGTGCACATTATTTTTTTACACCTTTAAATGCACAATGACTTGCTAAATATAAATGAATGCCTTTAAATCAATTGTAATCATTTTCCTCATATTGAGTCATGTGTATTTTTGCACACATACTGTAGTTGTGCTTCATTTGTTTGTAGTAAGAGGGAGAATACATCTCTACGTTTGATTCAGATTTTGACTCTTCAGGGTTTGATTTGAGGCTTTTGTGTTTAAAGGTTTAGTTGTTAATATCGATCACCCTACAGCGTGACTGAAAAGCCTCCCGACTAATGCCTTGTGGTGTGTGTGGTCTAAATGTGGGTTTCTCATAGTGTCGTTTTCAGAGGTTTTAAAGTGCATTTAATTAGAGCTCCTACTCTATAGCTTACTTCTCTGAATCCATAAGGCTTGTGTTTTTCTATTTAATGTACTCAACTTACTGGTTTTCCAACTGGGATAGTATATATAAAGCATACTGTGCTACACAGAGTTACAAGATGCCACAGAGGTAATTATGCAGAATTATACATTTATACACATTACAGGACTTGAGGGATTTCTCATCCTGTTTCATCCAGGCTGGGTGACGGGGGCAGCAGCCTAAGCCGAGAAGCTCAGACCTCCCTCTCCCCGGCCACCTCCTCTGGCTTATCCGTGGAACACGAGGCGTTCCCAGGTCAGCCGAGAGCGTGTCCTGGGTCTGCTGCAGAGCCTCATTCCTTGCTTTAAAAAAATGATTTGACTTATAAAGCTTTAATATGCAGCTCTAACCTTTTCCACAGATAGGGCAGCAATGGGGTCTTTCTCCAGTGTGCAGTCTCTCGTGGGACCTTAGGCTGTGGGGGTCCCTCAGCGATTTTCCGCAGTAGCTACAGAGAAAACCGCCTCCGGTGTGGGAGAACATGTGCCGACGCAGCTCCGGTTTTTGGGAGAATGTCTGACTGCACTCTGAGCAGGAGAACGGCTTCTCTCCATTGTGGATTCTCAAGTGGCACTCAAGGTTTCCTGCACACACAAACAGACAGAGACAGTTGCTTATTAAAAGGGAGGGGTCGGGGGGGCTGTAGCAGCAGTGGGAGCAGGGGAATGATGCATTTGTCCAGTAACGTGTTGGTGGTGTCACTTTGACGAATGGAAAGATAAACTGCAGGAATTGATCACAGCTGGAAGCGACATCGAGTGGAAGGAAAACAGCAGGGTAACAGTCACTTATTGAAAAAAATGATGACGTCAGTGTGACCAGAACAAATGTGACATTTTGGGAAACACTTTACAACAGTAAGAAAGTAACACGTTTACTTTTCAGCAGCGTATCGAGTTGAGAAGATCAATATCAATTTGATCTGTGTGTGTAAACAGTTTGGTTCAGGGAGACGACTAACACTGAAAACCTGCTTCATTTATGACACTGCAGTTTGAGCATTTCTGTGTTTCCATTAAACTGTTTTCCTGTTATCCAAATCAAAGGTCTCACTTTCACATCTATGGACAATTAACTGAACCCCACTAACTGCTTGTCTTTGACCTGTGGGAGGAGACAACCCACGCACACAGAAAGGCCACAGGGTGGCGTCACACTCGGCACTTTCAGTGATATCCTGGGACACGACTTTAACAAAATGTCTCTCGTCTCATTTTGCTTTCACTTTCATGATGATGCCTTTATAGCATCTGTGAGAAATGACCAGCAGAGTGAAATTATGAATTATAAGAATTTAGCGATTGTGATTCCCTTATCTATTTTACTTATTGATTTCAATCCTAATTGATTCACTTATCATTTCTCATTGTGCTCTCAGCTTAGCATTAGCTTGCAAAGAGCTGAAGTAGCATGATGCAACTTTACTGCTGCACTCTTGTCCTTTTGTGTAATAAACATAAAAACTTACACGCATATTGTAGTGCAAGAGCAGCAGGACCGACAGGCAAGCAGACCAACAATTCCAAGGAACTGGGCTACTGGGAACCAATTCTCTATAAGGACTGGTTTTTGATTCCCATATTCACCAGCCAATTCAATTCTTACTAACACATCTACATTAAAAAAGCTGCTGCCCCCCCCAGAAGAAAAGAGCAGCAGCTCTGACTGCCTCTGAGTGACTGAGCTCCTCAGCATATGTCAAAGGCTGAGCCCACAGAGTCCTTCTTAGATTAATAGACACATTGATGATTTATTGATCCCTGTTATATCAGCAGGATAAAGAAATAAAAATAGCACAGTCCACAATAAATGAGCACAGTGAAGTGCCACAGGTGCATAGTGAGGGTCTTATACTGTGAGAAAATCCAAATCAAAGAGTAAAAAGTAAAACTAAGGATTTGCATTAATAAATAATATGTCCCCTATAAATCAAAGAAACTGCTGCAAGAAGATATAATACAGAATCTATTAAGCCCGACAGGTGTGTTCACCTGTGACAGAAAGGAGAGTTACTGTACAGCTGCAGGAATGATTTCTGCCTCATGGCAGCACCAGGGAGAAGCAGCTCTGCTGCCTCAGTGGAGCAGGTGAAATTATGGACTTCATCAATCATCTTCCTCACTGCATAGTGTACAAATGTAATATTGGGTTCTCTTCAATGATGTTTTAGGTCATATCTATGGAGAAATATAGAATAGTCTAAAAACTGCCGAAAAAACGATCAATGTTCTCAAATAAACTGTGGCAAAACAGGAAGCCGGTATATTTTATAATCGTGCTAAAGTACACTAATCAGCTGATTGTTAGTTTGTGTGGCGCCCCCTACAGCGGCGGGGTATAGACCTTTTTTTATTTTTATTGCACAAAAGGATGCGTTGGTAAAGTGCAAACTGCACACAGGACAGAAATAGCTGTGCTGGAAGCATCTGCACATGTAGCCTATAGGTTTATTTTGTTAAATGTAATAAACACACAATGAAGTGAACCAACAGCACTATCTGTCTATATCTAGATTCAGGCATTCCTACAGGCTTCATTTACCTTGTTTAGTATTTGTTAATTGTGTCAAAATGTTGCTTTAGAGTTTGCTGCAGCACATATATGAAGCGCCTCGAGGCGACTCTTGTTGTGATTTGGCGCTATATGAATAAAATTGAATTGAATCATAGAGACAACCATGCAATCTGAAATAAAGAGCACCCTCGTTAAAGTCGGACGAACTGATTACACTTGATAATAAAATATTAGCAGGCCGGTTATTAAAGAGAAGCAGTGTGAGTTTAGATCATGCAGTTACTAATGATCATAAAACAAAAACCTTCTGACTGCCAACAGGCAGCGTGACAGAGAATCTCACTGCTGGTCTGAAAGCTGAAATGACTTTGACAGTCACAGAGTTTCAACTAAAATATGCAGACTTATGGCTAAAACAGCTGTTTGCATTTTTTCTGTCTCTTTTCTGCTCATCACATATTTTCTTTAATTATGAGGAAGTGACTTATGAAGCAGGTACGTCTGACAAATTTATTACATTTTCTTATATTAAAACCAGACCTGGTGTTCTGTAAAAAGTTGGCCATTTCCAGCCGAGCACATCTGACCAGTGATCAGCTTGTTGCAGCTGAAGGATCACACCCACGCCTCAGACGTTACCTTTCTGACTGAAGCACTTCCCACAGTGCTGACAGATGTGAGGTTTTTCCCCCGTGTGGAGTTTCATGTGGTTCCTCAGAGAGCCCGAGTTAGCCAGAAGCTTGCGGCAGACTGTGCACTGCACCTGGGAGAGGAGAAACACAAAAGCAGCACGTCTTCTTTCCTTCTTATTAAACATTTTCACTTCAAACTGCTGTTCAAGGAGGAAAAAGAAGGAAAACAAGACTGGCGTGTAAATTTAAAGATGCTACGTGAGTGATTTCAAACTGTGGTGCTGAGACACAAACAACACTGGGAAACAGCTTTCTTCACTGCACACAGAAGGAAATGAATCAATTGTATGCACTGTCCTCCTTATTAAAATTACTTGAAAATGTCGGCGCATGTGAGAGAACAAACACCTAACAGGGTGGAACTCTTCCCTACCTTAGGAGGCTGAGTGTAGCTCATTCTACTGCAGTGAAGGAGGCGGTGGATGCGTAGGGATGGGCGTCGTGCGAATGCCTTCCCACAGTGCTCACAGGTATAGGGTTTCTCCCCCGTGTGCAGGACCATGTGCTCCTTCAGGTCCCGCTTCAGGCCATACGTCTTCTCACAGTGAGGACAGGAGAAGGGACGCTCCCCGCGGTGACTCATCTACACATAAATAGATTTTATACAATATTTAACTCAATCTGTTTCTTCTTGTTGAGTGGATCATCTGCCTCCCCCGCACCCTACCCCAAGCATCTTCTCCTCACACACCGGCCCTCTGCATGTCCACCTTCTCTTCCTCCTTTCCTCCTGCCTGGCAGCTCAACCTTTCTACTACCCCTCCTCTCCATGCACATGTCCAAACCATCTCAGCCTCTCAAACTTTGTCTCCAATCCACTCAACCTGACCCCCCAAAAACATTCTGGTGTGCAATTCAGAGGCCACTTTTTCTACTCCTTGGCACAACACTTTTTGTGTCCACCACTCAGAATAAAAAAAGAAATAAAAACATTTAAAAACTGTGTTTTTACTTTACTTTTACTGTACTGGAGGAGAGGAATCATTCAGGGACTCAAAGCCTGGACATAAAAAAGGACACGCTGAACAGCACGGAGAGAAACAAAGATGTGTGAGGATGTCTACAGGTGTAAGCAACCTGCCTGTGGTTTAGCATCCAGACTTTCCAAAAAATCTTACAAGTTGCTCTGACCCTGTACGGTCTCAGATGAACAACAGCACTTTGAGTGGAAATTGCTGCAGTGACAATTTACTGCTTTTTAAATGCACTTTTCCTAGAAAAGTGCATTTAAGACCCTTTGTAAGGACCTCCATCCAACCTGATTTTTCTCAAACTTCAGCTCATCGCAGACATATTGCTGTACTGTGTATATACAGATCAGCCACAGCATTCTGATCACTACCTCAATCATTTGGATTTTGTATTCAAGAAGAGGAGAAAATAAGAGAATAAGAGGAGAAAAGGGAGCAACTGGGTAAAAAAAGAAAGGCATGAAATGAAAGAAGAGGCTTTTGATCTGGTTCTAATAAAGTGTTTTCCAACTTTTTTTTTATTTTTTAACACTACCTACACTGACACTTTACATCATTCAAATAAATACTTTTTGTGCAGCCCCTCAGTTCACCCAGTGTCAGAAACAAGCTGATGTACTTTCATTCCCTCTCACTATAAAACACCTTTCTTCTGATTGGTTGCTCCTTATGACATCATTCAAAGCCAGGACTGAAAACAACTGTCTGAAACAGAGCGTTTGGAACAATCTGGAGCCAGTGTCACAAGCTTTATTTGTATATAAGTGAACCTCCTAACTGTAACTATATTAACTATATTTAATATGTGCATTCACCATCATGCGGTGTACTTATGAGATAAAATTAAGGAGTCGAAATAAAGGACTAGTCAGTAAGCTGACTGAGTGATACCTGATGAGCCTTGAAGCTTTCTGCTGACGTGTAGTTTTTCCCACACTCCTGGCAAGTGAAAGGCTTCTCATCCATGTGACTGAACTGGTGTTTCTTCAAGTGGCCGATCTGGTAGAACCTTTTACCACATATGGGACACTTGTAGCGCCTCTCTCTGGTCTCTGAATGCCACATATGGGCGACTCCATCGGGACAAAGCACTGCAGCCATCTCACCTTCTGGTATCTCTGTTGAGCTTTTTCCATCTTTGGTGGAGGTCTGGCTCTGTGCCTCTAGGCGTTTGGATGAGTCGGGGCGGGCATGGAGTCGCTTCACCCGGCTGTTCAGGCAGTGAACCCGTCGGGGTTTAGCAGCCAGGCGGGAGCTGCAGCGGACAGGAGCGGGTGCAGGGAAGTCTCTGGGCTCTGCCATTATTCCTTCAGCAGAGTTACAGTGTGGCTGACTGTCCACAGGAGACGGGACACTGTCTTTGTTACCAGTTGCTGCTGTGTCATTATCAGGTGTCCTGTCTGTTACACTGTCTGTGGTATCGTCCTGCTGTCTGTCATAGTCTGGACTCGGCTCCGACAGCACCCCCTTGACTCTCTTCCTCCCTTGTGTAATTGGGTGACTCCTCTCGATGCATCTTTTGGGGTTTCTATCTTCATCTTCTGCATCATCCTGCATTTTCTCTTCCTGTTTGTTAGCTGTCACTTCTTTATTGATTGACACACTGGCAGCTGTGGCTTCTGAGTGGTCTCTCTGCTCCACCTTCTCTCCTGACCAATAGAAATACAGTGAAGCTGTCAAAAACACCAAAAATTCTCTGTTTCCAGCTTTAAATATCGAGAAATCTGCATTTGCTGCTTTTTTCTGCCTTATATCATGGTAAACTGAATATTTTGAGGTTTTTGTGATTTGAGTTGGAGAACAATCAGTCCCTGTTGGCTTTCAAAGGGCAGAGCACTTCCACACATGTTTTTCAGTAGGAGGCTGTAGCTGGTTGCTTAGCCTACAATAAAGACACAGGTAACTAATACACCTCACAAACTAAACAAAGAGCTATAATATGATTTTACAGAGGTTAACAAATCAGATCATTTCTTAAGCTAGGCTTAAACTAGTTGGCTTCCTGCTGTGGTTACCACAAGACAGTGGCTTTTAAGCTAGTTCTTCCCCTGCCTCCAGTAATTATGCTAAGCTAAGCTAACAGGCTACTGATGGCAGCCTCAGGAGGAGGAAAGTGCCGTCAACTTCCTCATCTAAGCATGGATACAATCATGTTATGTTGGAAACATCATTTTACTGTACAGCATAAATGTCAGTGTTAAATTATTCTTTACTTCATTGCTTAATTATCACATAATTTTTAACAAGCTATTGCTAGCTCATTCTGGCTAATGTAGCAATTGGTTAAAACATCTAGAATTCAGAACTATCAGATTTCAGACACTGCAGCATTTTTTACATTTTGTATTGCAATACTATGCCATGAGTTTTTAAGAAGTTAAACATGGGGGACTGCAGCTGCGTCTTCCTCCCATATTAATCCTCCTATCGTCAGTATGGACAGTGCTCATCGTTGCCTTCTTTTTTCTTACCGTGCTCACTGTATTCTCAGTAAAAAAAATCAAATATATCTTTACATTAAAGATGGACACAGTCATTGGACATAGACACCCACTGAACTGTGGCTGCCACAGCATGTCAGGTTTTAAACAAGATGGCAGGATTATGGTATGGATCTCACTCAGAAATCAATAATCGTTCACAGAGCACAACCTGAATCTACTTTGATCCTTTAAACACATCCTGTGGCTGACAGTCATTCAATTTGTGCAACACTGCTGTGCCCATAAATGTCACCTCTGCTGACACGGCTCAGTAATCTGGTAAAATTCCAAGCGTTAAAGATTCCAGTTGTCCAGCCTGTACGCCCAAAGACCGGATTTCAAAATGCACACATCAGGTTTACTGTGAAGTAGGACTTTAACTTACGGGGGGCAAAAAAAATTAAACCTTATTTTGGGGCCACAGTGCCAACCTTTATGTTTTACTGGACTGGTAATTCTACGCTGTTACGACCCGGCTCAAAAGCCGCAACATAAAAAAAAGGAGATGAATAACAGAGTGTGGGTGAGAAGAGGTTTCATCCTAAAATGGAAAACCAGGTTGGCTAAAATGGCTGGTGCCACCAAGGCAAAGACTAGTGCACTGCCGGAAAGCTTGCCTCAGGTATGCTTTTATCCACACCTGACTAGGTGTGGCCAATTAGCACCAGCTGAAAACACTGAGACGATTAAAAGCTGCAGAGGGACGTAACATACGCACACACTTTTGATTTTCCACTGACTGAGATTATAATCATAATACTTGATGGTAAATTAGGTTTTCTGGACTCATAAATATAAATACTCCAATTTACCAAACTAACCCACTGGAAGTTGTCTCCTCAGTCATTCTACTCAGTGACTTGAATATGAAGTGTACTGAAGAAAAACTCAACTTTACAGTAAATGTTTATGCTGTGCTTCTACAGCCTTTTTCCACATTCACTGCAGCCCTGTGTAGACTTGACAGAGATGCGTGTGAGGATGCCAGTGGTACCTCGGCCAGTCTTTAACCTAGCAAATGTGCACTTGTTAGTGCAAAATGATGATGGTGATGGTTTGCAACTTTGCTGTCACTGACAGCCCAGTTATTTAAGCTCTCACATTTAAAGCAACTGAAGTCTGAATGCTAGAACACAGTTTTTGTATCCTAGCAACAATGAGCGCTTGACAGAAGTGCTCAGAAAATGAGGTCGTAGGCACTTAACACGGAAACAGCAGCCTGTGGACACGAGCCCCATCTGGAAAATAACTCTGTTCAACAAGTGCAGCACAAGAAAAACTGAGCTGTTGTAACCGTCTGTCTTTTATCTCTGGACTGCAGTGAAACATGGACTAAACCAGCTTCAGAACTAATGCCTAAATACGGCAAAGCTTTTGTGCCTCAATTATATCTGTATCACTGTATTTATGTTAATGTTGTGCCTTTATGTCCTAAATATCCACCGAGCACCGCTGTGCTGTCCGTGCGCTAATTAGGTTTAGAAACAAATGTCTTTACTGCATTTAATGACTTACAAACCCATATTTAGACAAACACATACTACTTATGGACAGTAGTTGTCTGGTTTATGATTTGCTTGCTGTGTTTTTCTTCTGGAAGGATTTCAAATATTTTCCATCTATTTCATTGCTTACCTTTGTTCTTTCATTATTTCTTGTTCATTTTAATTCCTTTATGTACTCGTTATTTTATTCTTTATATTGCAATTTTCTTTCCCCCCTCTAAATCTAATTACTATCTGCCACCACAGCAATGTAACCTCCCTGCAGGGATCAATTGCTTTTATCTTATTATCTTTCATTTAGCATTCAAAATTGTGTTGGAAATGCATTTGAGATTTATAGCTTTATAGCACAAGTTTAATAAGACATCCACAGTCTGGTGCTTTTGGGTATTTTCTGCATGAAGCTCCTCCTCAGTGTCCCATCGATCACAGCATATAACACATCACTCCTCCACAAACATAAATAATAAAAGATAAGCAGAGCTGGAGAGTATATTATTGTCTCTAAAACAAATAAGCTCAACATTTGTTTCCTTCCATTTTCCCTTTTAATTAATGCATTCTGTGTTCCAGATTTTTTTTTACATCTACTAATTATTAATCCCGAGCTTCCATCCTAGTTTTCAGTGACTTTTATCTGACTGCAGAGATTTTTCAGCGTGCAGTTCTCGGCTGAAACTAAATGATGCTGTTAAACATGAAAATAATGTTGACATAGAAGCTGAGACATTCAAGTCTCAGACCTACGAATTGGAAAATGTCCCCCTCGATCCTGCAGGTGAAGCACATAAATCAGTATAGAGAGAAAACTGCACCTTACCCACTTGAACTTCTGTTTGCACACTTCACAACAACAGCTATATGAAGTACAAGAAGTACTCCAAGTACTCCAAGAGTATGACTATTTCCAGCAAATGTGTCTGATTTGTTAACTCATCTTGACATTTGCAAAGGGTTGGATACACAAAGATATATCTATGCAACTTTATCCAGAAACCATCCACCTAGTTGTGCTCGTTTATGCAACTTTACAGTCAGCCGATCATGTGATCCTGGTTTAATAAATAAACTCTTACAGATACGGATCAGGAGCCACAGATACATGAACATGTAATAACTGAAAGGGCAAAATGTTATCGCAGACGTTGACAGGCTGGTTTCTGATGCTGCTGATCTCCTGGGATCTTCATCGCAGCAGCACTGAAATGTCTTGTTCATGAGAAGCATTGGGAACTCAGATTACGACTTTCTAACTGCACTGAGCAGAGACAGCCACACAACGGTTGACAAAACTACAGAAACAGTAAGCTGCAGTGGGTTTAAGCTCAACCAAACTAGACTGCTGAAGAGTGGAAGTAAGGAGACTTTACTGCTAAAAGTCATTTTATGAATTGAATCCACATATCATCATAACAACAGGCTGATGCTTGTGTTACAGTGTTTTTAACATTAGGACGATCAGCATAACGAGACAATCCCTCGAATAGCCTGTTGATGTCACCACAGCTTTCCTTGGAGGCCAGACGACCTGATTACAAACATCATCTTCTTTTGGCTAATGCTTAGCCTAGTTTAGTGTAATTTAACTTGTTTGCTAGAAAGCTAATCCTAATAAGGAGCCACATCTGTTTTTTTATTTGTCATTATGTAGAGTTTGTAGCTAGCTGCTCACTGTTGGATTTTTAAGACAGCATTAAGGCGATGCATTGAAAAGCAGCATAAGCATCATATTCTTTGGATTTTCACAGAAACCACTTCATTCAGACAGAAGTAACGAGCTAATACGAAGGCCACATGAAGTTGGGAGGTCTGTAGTGGCTAAATCTGCAGAAAGTCTGCAAATCTGCCTCAGCACCGCTCATTTTACTGGGACTCTCCACCATTTGACCTTAGAACTGAAGAAGCTTCTCGGATGAGAGGTCAAATGTCTTCAAGCAACTTAAAGAAGTCCAGACGCTTTTCTTTCCAAGCTCTTTAGACAGCTTAAGAAGAAAGACGTTCTCTAGGACCGGTGAGGGACAAACCCGAGCGAAAAAGACGATAAATATTGGATTTGAAACTGTTAGTGAAACAGAAACTCTTCCTTGCAGATGACAGAAGATGTTGGTCTCTGTGTTAAATAGATAAATAAACCTTTGATCATCTCATATATTAAATGTATTTTAATTGGCTGTGATTTTATTTTAACATGCTGCAAAGTTCTGTGACGATGCAGTTAAAAAAGACAAATACAGATCTGAGTAAAAATCCAACTGAGAAAAAGCTCTAATATTCCTAATATAACATAAATGACAGACTCTGACATGAGGAGACCGTGTTCTCGCTCTCACCTGTATGTCCAGCGGAGTCACCACGAACATGTGAACACACTTTTCCCACGCTGTCAGCGTACAGCAGCAGCTCTGTTCCCGGCTGGATGTCCCGACACAGACGCAGACGGACATCCACACACTCGCCCTCGCACACATCCCCCCACACACACTGCACCGACACGTTCTGCTGGGCTCTGCTTGGTGCCTGGCAGGCAAAGCTGGGGGAATTCAACAGAAATACATACTAAAGAAAAATGTATATAATCAGAGAAGCTCCCAGAATTTATAATGCATTATTGCATTTGATTACTGAGAATTAGGGCAAAAAGGCTGAATGCCAACATAATGTATGTGAGGTGATGCATAATGTGGCAGCAGAGTCTATTTGATTACTCTTTATTTTCTTTGTCTGTGTTTGAGTCTCTGATGACCCATCGCAGGAGACAAGCGTCAGAATGTGATGGTAATATTTGTGTTTCCAGTTTCAGTCAGTGAGAGATAAATGGTCCAGTTTTCAATCAGGGAACTGTGGAGTACACTTCCTGCAGGAGGAGGTAATGTGGACGACATGCAGGCTGCAGCACTGAAAAAACAAACCACCTGGTAGAAACTTCCAGAATGGACGGAGATGGCTGAGGAACAGGAAGTTTCAAATAGTGATGCAGGAGCCATTCCAGCATCCAGATGTTGAATATGATGGGTGCTTTATACGAAAAGCTAAACATTATCTGAACACTCCAACACATCTAAGCAGCAGCTGCAGCAGGAGCCCGTGGTGCTAGCACCGTGGACAGCTGATTCCCCATCACACAGCGAACACGCCTCCACCCAGGCTGCCACTCTCCTTCCATGCCACGCATTGAACACGTACCTGAGTCTAGTAGAATATCTAAGCCTGAATATTTTCAGGAGAAAATCAACGTCTCCCAGTTTGTCTTGTTTCTGCTTCTATTGCATAAGTCACGATGGTAAAATCCAGACTCCAGGCTTACTGAACCAAATCACAATCAATCAGAATACTCCAATAATAAATTACACTGAATGTGACATTGAATCACATCACCTCCATGCATGCTGGACATTCACGGACCCACTCAATGAATATTACACAAACTTTGTGTCCTTGACCACAAAGTTTGTGCTGAAATATCTTAACAGTTATTACCTGCTAACTATACTTAGACTGCACTGTCATGAATTATAATAACATTATTAGCCTTTAGATTAGTGCAATCATTCAATGTCCTGTATTTGAATAAGCAATTATTAATATTTTACCATTTTATTTCCCTGGTACATGGAAATTATCACGCTAACTTGTGTTATTTTTATACAGAGTGTATTTGTTTGCTGAATAAATAAAGGAACGTTGCATTTAAGGAAGTCCAGCCTGTTCAGCCTCCTCTGTTTTACTGGGTGAGCTCAGTCACTGTGCATCTGAAGTCCAAATGTGATACTGGACAAAGTAGGTAACCCTCACAATGAATACAGCCTGTGACTTTTTAAGAACTGCAACTCTGTACTGTTAGCATGCTAGCATTGTCTGTGGGACAATGTTAGCATGCTAACGTTACCTTCTGGACAAAGAACCATTGTAAATAAACTTCTGGTCAACCACAAGTTTAAATGTTGCTAGTTGGTTAAACTACTCATTAGTTTTTTTGGTTTATTTAACGTACACCAGCCGATAATGGTTGTAAGATGTTAGCAACCATATGCTAGCAGGCAGATAGCAGCAACGCCTAGCTCCTTTTCTTTGTGACAGGAAGTTGTGAACATGGCGTTCATAAAACCAACCAGACTGACGTGTAACCACACTGAGTGCAGGGTTTGTCACACTGGCATTGGCACACGGCGCCACACGTGTTCATGACATTTGAAAGCCACTTTAATGATTAGAGAAGCAGTTTCACATGTATCAGGAGTATTTGCAGGGACAGTGTTTGACCTCACCCATTACATCCTGCTCAGTTTTCATAGGTCTACTATACACTACTACAGTTCCTGTAGGACAGTGATGGACGTGACAAATTTGATCTGTTTTTATTTCAGTGGCAATAAATCAGAGGAGGAAGTGTTTGATTTCACTGTCCAAAATAAATCAGATTAAATGTCTGCTTTGAAAAACTGACTTACTTGACCCAGACGGCTCTTTGTATGGAAGCATCTCGAGTTGCTGCTTTCACCACTGAAGCCTGGAAAACACAGTTAATATATGTTTTATAATTCACACACCGTCTCCCATCCTGCACCGGGACTGACTCTGCCATACGAGGATGAAATATGTACTTTTATTATAATGTTCAGAATTGTGATAAGTACCCTCCCGTCTGTCTCAGAGGGGCAGCTTGTGCATTGTACGTGGATTGATCGAGGTGCCCTTGCAAATTATCTGTGAGAAATCTTTTTTTTAAAGATTAATCACAGATAAAGCAACGCATCGCTGACCAGATCTCTTCATGTTTTTTCTCTTTAAAACGTTTGGTAGAAATTACAAGCACTGATTCATTATCTTCCCACAGGGTCTGCACTTAATTAAGCAGAAACACTCCCATTTACTGCTCTTGCTCCGTCTGCTGCCGACACAGCACGGCATCCGACAAAAGCTCCCACACAATGTGAAATCGTTATGAAGCATCTCAAGGCTAACCCCACAATGAGATGCCTCAGTCAGCCAGGAGGGATTCAGGTCTGAGATTTCACTCTGCTGGAACGACGCTCGAACGTTTCTTTTCTTACAGGATCAGCGTGTTTGCTGAAGAGTGCTTACTGCTTTTGTCCTGCAGAGCTGATGTCACGAGCTCAGGTGCAGCCACGATTCAGGCCCAAAGATGAGATAATTGAAGGTTTCTGTACAGGTTAAATTTAATGACTGGCGATTTGTTCTATCTCTGCTCAATGTTAAGCATGCAGAGAGAAACTCTATTATCACATGCACTTATGATGGCAGCGCTTTAAAGGGCATTAAAGCAACAATTTGTCCCACAGCTGAGAGTCAGCTGCATCATAAAGACACAAAGCTTTGAGGCAGGAGGAAGGAGTAGAGCTGTGAAATAAACACCGAGACAATAAAGAGTCCAAAATCACACACAAACAAATCAGACTGCCGCCCCTTATTGAACTTGACACTAATTTAGTTCACTTTTCAAGTTTGATTTTTCACTCATTCTACATGCAGTAAATATTCAGCACGTTCATCCATGTCCCGGCTTAACCACAGGGCACTGGAGCTTAACCCAGCTTCCACTGGGTGAGGTGGGAGAACACGCTAGAGGAGCGCCAACACAGACAGTATAAAACATGGATGGGGCTTCCAGGTGGGAGGCGACAGCCACAGCTCCCAAAAAACACTTCTAGAAAAAAATGGAGGATCATCTGTGGTATGAAACTGCATGCTCATTGGCTAACGAGCTGTCACTCACATGTCGTTAGCCAATGATCGAACAAGAGGGTGTGAACCTCAGTGTTTGTAAATCACAGATTTATGTGATGAAAAATGATATTTTTCAATGATATTTTTTAATGCTCGTTGGTGGTATTCACAGAGTATTTTACTGTATTTTATTAAATATCCATATATATACAAAATCACCATGAAAAATATTGCGATTTTATCCCGTATCAGTTTTTTCTCCATCCCTAGTGATGCTCATGAACATTAACTGTGCACAATAACCAGAGGAACACATTTCTGAATTTTGAAAGTAAAAACTTTTTCAGGCTTTTACAAATTAAAGGTCACTATGAACCAAAACAGAGAGATATTTTCAGTGAACCGTACAAACAGATTCATGTGAAAATCAGCTCCAGATTATAGCTTTGGAAACAGAGGGGTCGAAATATCAGATACATTAAAACAAAAGGAAAAAGAATAAACATAAAAAGGAAGTTTGCAGTAATCAACAATCTCAAGGAAGTGAAAAGATTTTAGCTGGAAAAATATGATTTTTTCTTGTGTTACTAATATTAAAAGCAAACGACGGTGGTGACAGCAGGCAGACAGCACAGTGTGTGTGTGGGGTGTGTGTGTGTGGGGGTGTGTGTGTGTGGGGGGGGGGGGGGGGGGGGGGGGGTGTTTGTGTGTGATATTGTCCACTGGTGGTAAAAAAGCTGTCACAAAGAAAGTGACTGCTTTCACCTCACCTGCAGCAGACACTACCTTCTGATAAGTTCAGTGGTTACAGAATGACGAGTGACGTCCTGCCTTCCTGTGGGATAGCTCACTCATCATCACTCACTAGGGCTGTGCGATATGACCAAACTCTCATATCCTGATATAAAACATCCATCGTCCCGATAACGATATAAATCACAAAAAATGTAATGTAATATTTTCTGTAAATTCTGTGAATCTCGGGTTGCTGAAGTGTTTCCAGCTGGGCGTCATGTAGCTGGAGTCGGGTGTTTTAACTGATGCATGAAACTGCACATTTTTAGACATAGGTTGTATCGGCTGCTGTTTTCTTTGTGAGTATTTATTACACGGCGTGCTGCAGGGAAAAGCCTGTTCTAACGTTTGAGTCTAAGGTTTATTTTTTAGCACCTGACGGCTCTTTTTGGCTTCTCATCCGTAAACACTCTGCATCTTTCACGTGATTCCGTTTATTTTGAAAAGTCTCAACAGGATCTTGAGCTTTATTGTGAAAGGTTTATGTGGAAAATAAACAAGCGGACACGTGACGCGATGGTTTTACTGTCGTTGTTGCTAACAGTTTATTTTGCGACACCACGAAACAAACGATAGACATTTTTATATCGTCATCTGATACATATCATTATATGGAACACTCACTATGTAATCATAGTTTGAATGCAGTGTACTTTCTTTTTAGCGTGACTCTTTGGCTGCAGGCTGTACTCTCTGCTCAGATTCAGCCTGAGAAAACAATCAGTGCAAACAGGTAATGACCCGAGCAGAGCAGAGGTCCTCAGAGCTGAATCCTGAAAGACCCACAAACAGGCAACAAATGAAGGCAGCTGCTGTAAAGGCCTGGCAGAGGAAAAGAAGCATTTTGTGATGTTTGTGGTTTTGAAGGATTTTCATCCAACTGTTAAAATTGTGTGTGTGTGTGTGTGTGTGTGTGTGTGTGTGTGTGTGTGTGTGTGTGTGTGTGTGTGTGTGTGTGTCCGTGTGTTTAGCCTGTGGGAAGATTTTGTACCTGTAAAAACCCCAGAATGAAAAATAAAAGTCAGTCATTTCAAACACAACTTAATTGTTCGACTTAGAATCCACTATAACAGCGTGCAGAGCCAGTAATGTGTCACTGTCCCAAAGCTTAGGGACCTAAGTGTCATTTAAAAGTTCAGTTGCTGCTTCACCCGTTCTCTCTCCCTACAGGCTGATTTGCTGGCCACTGCTCTGCCAGTCTGTGATATCATTCAGCTGCACCTCCTGTCGTTTTTTTTCTCCCACCATCGGGACTCCAGCTCTGCGATGTCACTGAGGACAAGATGTTTGACTTTTACTGGATCAACAGTGTCTGTTTATTTCTGTGAGACAGAATCACTGAAAAGACTTTCAGGAACACCAGTGTGTGTTTACTCTCCTCACTTCCTTACATACCACATGCACAGAATCCAGATCTGTAGCTTGTTTTTGTCTCTGTCAGGCTTATAATTCTTACACAGCCAAAACAATGTCATGAATCATGATTCACCTGCTGGTCCAACATATATTCTTCTGCACATGCAGCTTTCTTTACATGTCTGAGGCCTTCCACAGCTATTTAGCATGTTTGAACTGGACAGGTGAATACTTGGAGGTAAGTACTTGTCTACAAGATTGTGAGGATAAAGCCAGATGTCTGTCTCTGTGTAACTCTTGGCTACGAGCAGAGAATAATAACAGGAATGTAACCAATGCAGAGGCTTCTTGCGTGAAGACCTTGAAAAAGCCAGCAGCTGTGACATGACGCCGTTGCTGCTCGGGCCAAATAACAGGCTTGTCAGTGAAGCTTCTCGATACTGTCGGTTTAGCGTTCTGGCAACCTCCAGGGCTGAAAAATAAAGCCAACACGGAGGTGCCAAAAACTTCATGTCCTGGAGTTTTGGCTGGCTCCAAACGCGTTTCAATCTCCAAAAAGGCCCATGTTAACATGGCCAATTTGACAGCATTAAAAAGTTTTTTTTACAGCTCTGTACAAAGAGTGGTGTTGGCCTCTGTGGATGGTTTAACCCCTTCATAACAGCTCTATGGTTTCCCTCCAGAGCGACAAAGGAGTGCTGATACAGAGAGCTGTAGCTGCTAGCTGCCCCACAGGCCTCACCTCCACTCATTCAAGTTACTCAACTGGGCAGTTCACACACAGTACAGGTGGTAGTTTAAGTTTTTTATAAAGCATTTGATTGGTCTTTTGCCCAGCCCTAAACAGCAGTGTCTACATGTGTGAGTCACACACATACAGCTTATAGATGCAGCTCGCTGATATCGGAGCAGTTCCCCCTCTCATCCAAATATGCTCACCGTCACTGTATCCAAAACAAAAAACCAACACGGCTGTGGCTAAGACGCTGAAGCTTCAAAGTACAGAGTGCAGAAATCTACAATGGGTAGGGTCACTTCATTATGTCCATCTTTTATATACAGTCTGTGATTTTCTCCAAACACTAATACCTTACAGTAGCAAGATCAGACTCCAAACAACTTGAACAATCTCTCCAAACAGCAGCCTATTTGCTATTATCTCCCTGCATTATATGTTAGCTTTGCACACCAGCTGCTGGTACTGCATGCTGAAGCAAACAGAGAACAACAAAGTGCACTGAGTGGATGAAAATAAGGACATGAAAGTGTGCTCACTGATAGCCAGTGCAGATATTCAGATCTGGAAATATTTATAAAATAGGCCCAAATGAAAAATATACACTTCTCCTTCAAAATCAAGCACAGTCAATATTAAAAGTGACTATAGCCCACTCTGTCTGCATACTGTGAGCACTGTGCATTACCTGTTCTTCCTCTGTTCTCGTGGCCTGATCTCTTTCGGTCTCAAAGTTTGTGGCGAGTTTGCCGTCTTCACTGTGAATTTCCGGCTCAGCGTGATACTCTGAGGCCCACTCAATGTCCCCGTCTCTCCCCAGCAGGGATCCAGCCTCCAGTGAGCGTCCGACCCACCAAAGCCCCAGCCTGCCCTCGTGGAGACGTGAGGGGCCTACAGCAAAGCCACAGGGAAGCGACGAGTAGAGAAATGAAGCAAGAGCAGATGGGACGGGAGGACCGAGAAAGGCCATCGAGCTGTAGAGAACAATACGAAGCAGGTTACAGGCACGAGTTAAACCAAGGATAACGTTGTAAACTTGCAACGCTGTGCTGCACATATTTGGCACTGCAGAAGATCTAAGCGTCCCATGAACCACTTTCATTCCAGCTCACTTCCACCACTGTTTACAATAGCTTTTAAACAACAACTAATTTTTACACTACAATTCATTCTTTATTGTACTTCATTTGAACTCTACTTTTGAACGCTTATTTGGATCCCTCTTGAATTTTTGCAGAATACTTAAAAGTTCCTGCTGACGTTCAAGATTATTTTTTAGTTGAAATGCTGCTGTAGTTAAAATGCAGCCTTCTGACTGTAATTCCAGGGGCTCATCAAAACTATAGCATTAACAATGTAGGCATTATAGCTACCAAATGAAAAATTCTTAAAGATACAAAACACCCTGTAAAGCTCAGATATACCGAAAGGTCTGTAAGACAACAAGCTGTATCTGAAGGCAGGTGCAGCAAAGGTCCAGGAGAGGATCTCAAGGGATGAAACACATCACTGGACAAGGTCCATGGATTCTGCAAAGGATTTTTATCCTAGTATTAAAGTATCTTTCATATTTATAGCTTAATGTTGCTATATCTCAATATTATATACTAATACTGTTAAGTCTGTGTAAAAGGAGGGGGTATTAAAAAAGTTCAAAACTGGTTAATGCACTATTTGTAAATTATATTTCAGTTTTATTTCCATTTGCAGAAACCAAATATCATTATAACCATCTAATGCTCAAATATAGCTACAACCGGTCATTTCAACAGAGGTGGACTGACTCGTTTAAAGATGCACCATCAAAACTTTGGACTTTTTCTTTTCATCTTGAAAATTGTTGCACTGTTTGTAGTATTTACTTCTCACGTTGTATATTTGACTCTCACCTCTGATTATCTGAAAGGATACTGCTTTAACCTCCTAGGACGTGGCGTCCACATATGTGGACATCACATTTTGGGCTGTCTAGCCACAATGCTAAATTTTACACATTTAGGTGTAAACATATTCACACGTTTGAAGTAGCACTTCTGGACAAATGTTTCGTGTTTCGTGCGATGTTCAGAAATCTTTGACAATATTTTTACACTGTCACAGACATACGTCTTCCTGCAGCTGTTAGCAGCATTTCAAATGAGCCATACTGCTCAAAGAGGCACAACTGGGGTTTTTTTTTTAACTCAGGACACCAAAATAAAGACACCAAATAAAGAGTTTTGCACATCATTTTTTAAATGTGACTTAGTGTTCTATCGAAATTTAAAGCGAATGTCCTCATATGTGGATATCAGTTTTCTCAGAAACTACATCAGGTAAAAAAAAACATTCTTTGTTTTCAATCAGCCCAAATAGCAAAGAGAAATTAAAAATGCATGCCATGAAAGAGTTCGGGTCTGAGGTTGAGCAGGACTAACGCAGGGAACACGCATTTCTGGCCAACTGTGATCGCTACAGCTGCGCTCCTAGGTTAGCGGCAAAGCGTTTGGCTCAGTGTAAGCAGTGCAGTCTCATACAGCGGACCGTGGACTTGGTCCGTTCGTTCAAGGCACCTACGTTGCTGTGAAAGTCAACAGTAACTACTGGTGTCGATGTTTTACAGCCACCAACTTTTCAGCCCGCGTAGCGTTGGTTAGCTAACTAACTAGCAAAAGTCCGTGAACCACAAACGACTTTCGAAGTTATTTCTAGAATTATAATAAATGTGTACATACACAGTGAGCGGTCGCTATCTCGAACAGATAGTTTATTATAACACTATATGTATTCCGCTTGAAACTCTGGGAAAGCCATCGTTATCCAGCAAAAGAAAACATCAACCAAAATCCGCGTCTTCTATTGTCCGACCTGGAAACTCAAACAGTTCTTTGGTTCCGGACCGGAGACAAGGCTCCCTCTCTCTGTCTCTTTCTTTCTTTCGCTCTCTCTCTCTCTCTCCCCCCCTCTCTCCCCCTCTCTCTCTCTGGAATCTAATGTCCAATAATTATATTTATAAGCAATTTTTTTTAGTTATTGTCACACTTTTACTTTATATTTCAGTTTTTATATATTTATAAAAGTATTAAAATTATCTACTACATATGTTTATATGTGTTATATATTGTACATATTATATATTTTTTGTTTCTTTTTTGCGCTATTTTGAGCCAGGAAATAGTTATTTTTTTCTGCACTGTTTAGTGTATAGACTGGATGGCAATAAAGTCTATCTATCAATACAGTAATTTCTAATGGTAAAAATAAAAATAAAAAGAGTAAAATTAGTCTTTAATTGCATGCACATAAAAATACATATCTATACCTCAAAAACGTAACGTTTGTGACATTTTACTAACTATTTTTATATTTCTATGTTAGCTGTATAAATTCAGTCCTATTTGTCAGACAGACTAGGCAAAAACTGCTGATCATAGAGGGGTGGAAGGCATGATGAGAATCCATATTTTGTGCTTATCTGGATAATTTTGGGGGGCATTTGCAGAGGAGTATCCTTTACTTTAGATTTTTAATAATAAAGGCCTTGAGATGAGGCATTGTTTGTCTGATTGAGTGCTGCCCTTAACTGTCAGATTAAGGTTTTTGTTTGTTTTTGTTTTTAAGAAAGAAAAAGAAAAGAAATAAATAATATTGCATAAAAGCACACAGGCAAACATTTCCAAACCATTCCCATAAAGCAGTATGCACCATCTGCACAAAAGTATGAACACGATGAATCATTTATTTTTCAGACTAACCTGAATTTCAAAAAGAACTAATCTACACAAATAAATAATCTACGCGAATAATAACATTTAATAATCCTAGATAAAGAAGTCTCATTCATGACATCCACACAAAGTATACTAGTCGTCTACAGGTAATCCCCCAGGTTATACTAAGGGGTGACGTTTTGGATTCCTCATGGTAAAAAAAAAAAGAAAAGAAAAAAGGTCACAGCTGCAACTCAGAGCTGGCAGCAGCACCACACCATCTAGTGGTCATTCATATATATAGCTTGGGAGGTAGACAGTCTGCATCACACGTTTTTCAGTTTAACTTACGCCACCATAGTTTCCCCAGTAGATGGATAAGCTGCAAGTGCAGAGTGGATGAGGTTTGAAAAGAGAAGGAGGAAGAAGTCTTTTTAGTAAATGTAGCACATTTGTAGCGATGTAGAACAGAACTATGGGATGTATGCACATTTCAAGATATCTTAGAATCAACATTAGCTATATGTGCAAAACTTTCATCATGAATTAATTGTGATTAACCACAACTAAGGCCTCCACCAAAGAACTCCAAGGCTCATCTCATTTGCCAAAAGAAAAAATATGAACATGCTCAAAAACCTTCCAGAAATTCCAACGTGAAAGACTCACTGCCAGTCATCACAAACGCTTGATTGCAGGTCTTGGTGTCAAGGTTGACACCACCAGTTATTAAATTTAAGAGAAAATTACTTTTTCACACATGGCTTTCCCTTAATAAATGAAATGATCATTTAAAAACTGCATTTTGTATTTACTCAGGTTACTTTTGTCTCACGTTAAAACTGTTCTTATGATCTGAAACATGTAAATATGTCACAAATGTGCAAAAAAACCCCAAAAAACAAATACTTTTTCAAGGCAGCGCATATGCATCCGATTTATTTCAGCTCAGAGTCTCCACGCTGCTGGGTGGTGCACCTTTCTCACAGATGTCTGTTCGCTCGCTACCTGCCAGTTTGATCCCCCCTTTGAGTGCTCAGGAAGAACAGAAAGCACCATATATGTGAGAAGCAGTCCAATGGAAAGATCGATGGTTTTGCATGAAGCTGTTTGGTGCTGAATGAAATGATGTCAGATCTGCTATTACAGTTCATAATTTGAACTCCGACAAGCAAATCAGTATTTCTTATTGGCTGCAATCATAGTAACAGCTTGCTAAAAATAACAATTACAAACATTTTACCATTTCATTTTTTGCTAATATAGAAGTGCAAAACATGTTTAGAGCAGAGATGATTCATCTCAAGGGCGGCGATGTTTCTGTTGCTGGACACTGTTGAAAGAACCTTATTCAGAGACAAGGCAGCACTCACCACATGCATCCCACCCTGTTGGGTAAATACAAATTCACCATAATGTTATTATTCCCATGAGTCAGCTCTGTGTTATTTACCACAGAAACACTGAGCTCACTGTGACATCAAAAAGGTGAAAGACCTGTTTGTTGACTCTACCTGGCATGTTTGGGTGGTGACCTCCTGGATTGACACAAGGCTGACTGAATAAAGAAAAAAATTAACAAAATTAACAAAAACATTAGTAAATGAAACGTTTATTAAGGTTTTATAAATATAGGACAGTCTGGGCAGTGAGCACAACATAATTTTACATATTTACCATGTGGAAAAACTGAGATGGGCTGTTGAAATTTCATTGCTTTGTCATATATTAAGATATTTCAGTGATCATGTGTAGCTAAATGTTTTTACACTGACACAGGGGGATTTTCACTGGTCTGTACCTCACCCTCGACATCCCTCATCTACAGCATCACACATGCAAATTTAAGACTGACAGAGTCATAAGAGAAACACCAACCCATTACAGGAGGTAACAACCAAAGGGTTTATTTAACACTGAGCAGAGTCACTACACACACTAAGACACTGAGTTGGTGGGTGTATTCCATAATGAGGCAAATGTGTGTTTATTTTCATTGTTACGTGTCAGGGATTCATATCCCGGAGCACTCTGCTGCTCGGTGCTCAAACACATGCTTGGGTTGACGCTCTCATTTTCACAGGCACATGTGAAGCACACGGTTGGTTTTCCCTGATAGAGAAATGTCACTAAAAGACTAAAAACATCTGAGTTCCTCTCTCAGTAGCTGAATATTTGTACAGACTCAAAGTTACCCTGTTCCCTTAAATGATCATAAGATGAAATTTATATATACATGCATGTGAAAATATGATTTACTGCAAATATACTCTTGATCGTGGCTCAAGAGCTGGCAGTTCATCTTGTAATTGGAAGGTTGCCGGTTCGAGCCCCGACTCCGACAGTCTCGGTCGTTGTGTCCTTGGGCAAGACACTTCATCCGTTGCCTACTGGTGGTGGTCAGAGGTCAGTGGTCAGTGTCCGGCAGCCTCGCCTCTGTCAGTGCTCCCCAGGGTGGCTGTGGCTACAATGTAGCTGCCATCACCAGTGTGTGAATGTGTGTGTGAATGGGTGGATGACTGGATGTGTAAAGCGCTTTGGGGTCCTTAGGGACTAGTAAAGCGCTATATAAATACAGGCCATTTACCATTTATTGTATTTACAGCAGACAGAAGTGTGTGTGTGTTTGTGTGTGTGTGTGTATTCCTGAGTCAATATACAACAATAACACAGTACATGTGAGGAAGCATTCTTTATAGTTTTTTCGTCTTTTTTAATCAAACCAACAACACTGTCATATAGACAACAATAGAAACTATAGAATAGATGCATTTTATTCAGTAAAAAAGATTCTATGTCAGAAACATGCACAGCTTTGAAGGTGGACTCTTGCTCTTTGGTTTATGCTTTTTAAAGAGGCACAGCCTCCATGTACAGCATCAGTGACATAAAACAAGTGTACGAATGAATGCAGTCAAAGTTGGGAAATAAAGAAACTGTAACGTCTGCAGCAAAGAGCCCCTGTGGTCCCATAAGGTGACATTTTTCTACAGTGTGTGCCAGTTTATCTGTGACAACAGAAACATCTGTGACGAGTTATTCATCTGTGTGTTTGAACTTCAGCAGACTGTCCACGTCTGCATGACTAAAAGCTTTGACTCGCTGACATGGGTGCATTACTGTAATGCATAGGCGTACCTAATAAAGTGGCTGCTGAACGTATTTAGTATGATGAGAGAACTGTGCCAGAATGATCGAGAAACACCAAACACATAATGAAGTCTCTCGCACAGATGAAGACCTTCTCTGCAGACATGACTCGTCCACACAAATAAATCCTGTGTTTGCAGAGAAACATGGCAGCTGACGGGCTCCGTGCATTTCTTCTGACGTTACAGACATGAAACAGGAAACAGGCTCATTGTTGTAGCTCCGCTGAGAAGCTACGCACTGCACAGCTCGTGGCGGATGATTAATGCCTGAACATAGAAGAGAACGCTAAAACCAGCCAGCGTGACAAACTGACTGCTTTAGGCATAACATAATTAAGAAATAAAGCTTGAGCTGAGCAGAAGCTCGTGTGTGCTGCTAATGCTGCTGTTGTCTTGGACAATAGTTACTGGCTCAGTAAAAAGGCATATTGGACCGTTGGCTGTTTGCTTTTTGTTCACTAGTGTGTGAATGTGTGCGTGAATGGGTGGATGACTGGATATGTAAAGCGCTTTGGGGTCCTTGGGGACTAGTAAAGCGCTATATAAAATACAGGCCATTTACCACTATAAATTCTTCCTTCTTGTCTTTTTTTCATTTGTCTCATCCACTGGATTTAGCTCGGCCATGCTTCATGTCCATAAGGCCTCTCTGGGCACACAGAATTTTGAGATTTCATACAATGTCAATAATACACAAGTGCTGAGTTTTTCTTTACTGAATCTTCTTTCTATGCAGTAAGCAAATATAATATTCATATTAAATAATATAGATTTTTGGCTAGTTCTTGCATAACATGGATCGCCACAGTAGTTGAATGAACCTCTCAGCTGTATACCAACAATAAAATCACAGATAAATTCACAATATTACTGATTTATTTAATGAGAACTAGTGAGAACCATTGTGACTTTATGTCCTCAGTTTGTTACAAAGTCTGTTCACGTGACACTCGGAAAAACAACCCCGGGTCTAAATTAAACCACCTAACAGGTGTGATAGCACAGTCCTCTCAGTTCTAGTTAAACTTGGATCATTTCTGCCCAAACATAACCCAAAAGTCCAAATGACTGAACTCATATATCTTCATGTATGCGGCCTGTTAGCTTTAGAGCTGTCTTACATGCTCATGCCTTTTAATTGTAACTGCACTAGTTACACTACTGTGTAAATCTTCAACTGAACCTCAGCTGAATTTGAAAAAGAAGGAATAACCTTGAACCTGCAGAAGTATCTCCGGCGTACCACATACACCCACACGTATGACTTTTTGGTGCCTGACTTCATGAATCATGTTAACATGATTCCTGCACCAGCGTCCGTCTCTATGATAACATCTACAGCAGAACGTACCATCTGTGAATCAAAGTGTGCCAGCAATACTAAACAAAAATATATTACAAGACACACAATAACCATTAACAACCAGAACAATAAAGTAAGGACAGGAGCCACAGAAAAAAAAAATCACATTACCACGGTGTAGCCACTCCCATGTGTGTGTTCCAGAACATTGCCTCTAGAAATCTTCTTGACTTGTATAGAAAATTCATTTTTGTGTCCCATTAATGTTCTTTTGAAATAATAAATTGCAATTTTGACTCCTTAGCGACGCCTGCTGTTGCGTTCTGGACTCCTGCGGCTCCTCCTCTGTGCTCTCCTTTGACTTTTCACTGCAGCGCGGGAAAAACCAAACAAAGACTTATTATGAGAAATAACTTCTCAGTACGAATCTATACAGAGCATGCTCACCATCAGTGCATTTCACTTGGGGCTCCTCCCACTGTCCGTCTGGTTGACAGCGCACCAGCGGTAGATGGCGCTGTCTAAATCCTGGATTGCACTGATAACGAATGATGGAGCCGACGGGGTACACCACCCTCTTTTTGCCAAACATGCAAGCATTGGCCACCTCCGGCGGGGCACCACAGGACACTGAAGGTAGTACCAGAGGACATCATATCAAACAATGTGTTTCCTGCAGTACGTATTTTAGGTAAAAAGCTAAAACATTGCTGCGTTAGTTAGCTCCGAGTCGAGTTTGTTTTTGCAACAGCCAAAATCCAACACGTTTGTTTTGTTAGTGTTAGGACTCTTTCACAGAGCCCAGTATGAGTCACACTGTAGGAAGCTTTAGCCAGCCTAATGCAAAAAGATAAACCTGCTCCACCTATGAAGGACTCCAAACCACTGGACATATATTCTACCATTCAGATATCTGCCTTGTATTGATAACCAGACCAAACAGACTAGACTAGACTTGAAGGTTTTGCTCCAGAGGTTTTGCTGAGCCAGCCTACCTGAGCCTTTCTTGCAGGTGAAGGGCAGATGATAACTACAGGGTACATCATTCCACTGGCCGTCAGAATGCCAGATCATCACCACACAATCTTCTTCAGAGTTCACGTAGTTGTCCGGCTGGTTAGGCCTCCAGTTCTCGTATTGCTGAAGAGACGAGAGCAAACAGGTAAACCTCAGTGTAAACAGGACCACAACAGCTTTACCAGTTGTCCTGTATGTCATCTTTTACTGCTAAATTAGATTTTATTGTTTTGTCTTTTCTCAACAGCAAAAAGTTCAAAAAACAATAGAAGCATTAATCGATGAAAATGTTTCCACACATAAAGTTGAATTAGACTAAAAAGCATAAACGGCAAATTGTCTTTGAATGGAATTGCTTCATGCTCACAGCTGTTACACACTCGTTTTCAGACCCCCGCTCTTTCGCTACTCAGGTTAAACATGATATATAAGTCACTCGGATAACTTAAAAATGTAATTGTTTGCCTTTTTTCGGTGTTTTATTTGTTCCGGACTAAATCGGTTTGGCTGAGATCAAAGTTATTAGATTAAATAAAACTTTATTAATCCATCGGGTGGGTTCCTCCAGGATTTTCACACAGCTGAATAAACGTCAAACAGAAAACCGATTAAACAGAAGTGTGAGACGATCGAGAATTTCCGCCAGTGTCCTGATATATTTTAGATAGCAAGGAGCAGACGGCTCAGTTTATTAAACTCCACCAAGACAGCGGTGACGCAAATCTGAAGGCTAGACCGTCCCATTTCACAGCCTCGCACTTCCGGCCTTCTCGGTCTTTGAAGGAACCTGCCCACGTAGACCGCGAAAGCCGGGTCCTCCGAAGGATGCAGCCGACGTTTTGGGACACAGCTATGGTCAGCATCCTGACAGCCCAATGGACGAAGCTGTCTCTCAGTCTGCGTGTTCTGGCCCGGAGGCTCTTCAGTATCATTCCTGATGGCAGCAAACTGAAGACGCTGTTGAAGGGATGAGTGGAGTCACCTGTAATAGAGAGGACCTTCCAGATGAGGCAGGTGCAGTAGATCTCCTGGGGAGGGAGGCAAGAGAGGTCCCCACAATGCTCTCGGCTGCTCTCACTACCCGTTGTCATTTTTTCCTGCAGAACCCAGTGCAGGAGTCATACCACACAGTGATGCAGCTGGTGAGGATACTCTCAACTGTGCCTCTGTAGAAGGTGCTCATAATGGGGATTGAATCTCTTGTGCTTCTCAGTTTGCAGAGGAAGTAGAGTTGCTGTTGGTCTTCTCCACATTCAGGGACAGGTTGTTGTTGCTGTACCACTCTGCCAGATGGTTAACTTCACCCCTGTAGTAGATCCCGTCGTGGGTCAGCAGAGTGAAGAGAAGGGGGCTCAACACACATCCTTGGGGAGCCCCCGTATTCAGTGTTCTTGGGCTGGAGGTGTTGCTGTCGACCCATACTGTCTGCTGTCTTCCTGTCAAGAAATCTAGCAGCCCGTTATACAGCAAGGTGCTGATCCCCAGCAGATCCTTTTTTATGAATGAGTTGCTGGGGAATGATGGTGTTGAATGCTGAACTGAAGTCTATGAACAGCACTCTGACATACAGTGGGGCAAAAAAGTATTTAGTCAGCCACCGATTGTGCAAGTTCCCCCACTTAAAATGATGACAGAGGTCAGTAATTTGCACCAGAGGTACACTTCAACTGTGAGAGACAGAATGTGAAAAAAAATCCATGAATTCACATGGTAGGATTTGTAAAGAATTTATTCATAAATCAGGGTGGAAAATAAGTATTTGGTCACCTCAAACAAGGAAAATCTCTGGCTCTCACAGACCTGTAACGTCTTCTGTAAGAAGCTTTTCTGTCCCCCACTCGTTACCTGTATGAATGGCACCTGTTTGAACTCATCATCTGTATAAAAGACACCTGTCCACAGCCTCAAACAGTCAGACTCCAAACTCCGCCATGGCCAAGACCAAAGAGCTTTCGAAGGACACCAGGAAAAGTATTGTAGACCTGCACCAGACTGGGAAGAGTGAATCTACAATAGGCAAGCAGCTTGGTGTGAAAAAATCAACTGTGGGAGCAATCATCAGAAAATGGAAGACATACAAGACCACTGATAATCCCCCTCGATCTGGGGCTCCACACAAGATCTCATCCCGTGGGGTCAGAATGATCATGAGAACGGTGAGCAAAGATCCCAGAACCACACGGGGGGACCTGGTGAATGACCTGCAGAGAGCTGGGACCAAAGTAACAAAGGTCACCATCAGTAACACACTACAACGGCAGGGAATCAAATCCCGCAGTGCCAGACGTGTTCCGCTGCTGAAGCCAGTGCATGTCCAGGCCCGTCTGAAGTTTGCCAGAGAGCACATGGATGATACAGCAGAGGATTGGGAGAATGTCATGTGGTCAGATGAAACCAAAGTAGAACTTTTTGGTATAAACTCAACTCGTCGTGTTTGGAGGAAGAAGAATACTGAGTTGCATCCCAAGAACACCATACCTACTGTGAAGCATGGGGGTGGAAACATCATGCTATGGGGCTGTTTTTCTGCCAAGGGGACAGGACGACTGATCCGTGTTAAGGACAGAATGAATGGGGCCATGTATCGTGAGATTTTGAGCCAAAACCTCCTTCCATCAGTGAGAACTTTGAAGATGAAACGAGGCTGGGTCTTCCAACATGACAATGATCCAAAACACACCGCCCGGGCAACAAAGGAGTGGCTCTGTAAGAAGCATTTGAAAGTCCTGGAGTGGCCTAGCCAGTCTCCAGACCTCAACCCCATAGAAAATCTGTGGCGGGAGTTGAAAGTCCGTGTTGCTCAGCGACAGCCCCAAAACATCACTGCTCTCGAGAAGATCTGCATGGAGGAATGGGCCAAAATACCAGCTACTGTGTGTGCAAACCTGGTAAAGACCTATAGTAAACGTTTGACCTCTGTTATTGCCAACAAAGGTTATGTTACAAAGTATTGAGTTGTATTTTTGTTATTGACCAAATACTTATTTTCCACCCTGATTTACGAATAAATTCTTTACAAATCCTACCATGTGAATTCATGGATTTTTTTTTTTCACATTCTGTCTCTCACAGTTGAAGTGTACCTCTGGTGCAAATTACTGACCTCTGTCATCATTTTAGGTGGGGGAACTTGCACAATCGGTGGCTGACTAAATACTTTTTTGCCCCACTGTATGAGTCTCTAGTGTTCAGATGTGTGAGGGCTGAGTGAAGGGCAGTTGATTCCATCATCGGTTGAGCGTTTTGACCGGTATGCGAACTCAAATGGATCCAGGTCGATAATTTGATTTGATGCATGACTAACCGTTCAAAGCTCTTCATAATGATGGAGGTGAGTTTGACAGGACGGTAGTCCTTAAAGCAGGAGGTAGATGACTTCTTGGGTACAGTAATGATGGTGGAGGCTTTGAGGCATGTGGGAACGACGGCCTGACCCTAGTGATGTGTTAAAGATGTCTGTGAAGACATTTGTGAGTTCCACAGCATAGTCCGTCAGTGCTCGTCCAAGGATGTTATCAGGACCTGGAGCTTTGCGTGTACTGATTTTGGCAAGGGATCTCCACACACTGTCTGGGGATTGTGTCACCACGGTCTGTAGAGTGGGCCTATAGTCTGTGATGGTTTGTATTCTTTGCCACTGCCTCCAAGTATCTCTGCTGTCGCTGAAGCTTTGCTGCAGCTGATGCCACAGGTTTGCCCTTGCTGTTCTTAGGCTCACCTAATTCCCGGCGCTGAAGGCTTGCATTTTTCAACCTTAGGAGCATTTAAACCTGACCTGTGAGCCATGGTTTCTGATTGGCCCGGACAGTGACAGTCCTGGTCTCTGTGACATCATCGATGCATTTTGGGATGTAGGCAATGACAGTTTCTGTATATTCCTGAAAGTCTGTGGTGTTGTCGTGTGTGGCAGCCTGTGGTGGAAAAGCAGTCTTGCAGTGCCTCTGAGGACCCTTCTGGCCACACCTGTACCTGCTTACGGACTGGTTTGGTGACTTTGACCAGGGGCCTGGGGGAACCCATGGCACACCTAGATTTCTGCCTGTACTGACCCTTATGCAAAATAGGTGGAATTAAGACACAGTTCCAAAAGCAAACACAACTGATCAGTGCTGAGGGTGGTCCTGTTGCTGAGGTTGGGGTGATCCTGTAATCTCTTATGAACGACCTCCAATGCTTCTATGACTGGGATGCAAGTGAAGACAGATGTAACATCTCTCTCTCACTGTACATATACTGTGTATAAAATTAGGGAAACATAACCTGCACAAACAAAATAATTTGCAGGACAAATGTTTGACATCAATTTTGTTCGATTTGAAGAAGATAGGGGGGCCAACTTCACTCACATGTGTTTATAAGGTTGGGAAAACCTGCAGTCAGCTGAGACTGAAGAAGTCACTTGGATGATTTTTATTAATATCTTTAAAATGATAACGGCACAAATGAAAATTTTTGCAGCACAAACCAGCACAAACGTAGCACAAACGTTTGATACCACTTTTGTTGGATTTGAAGAAGGTGGGGGGGCAACTTCACTCACATTGGCCCATAGCCCTGCCAGTGTAGAAGAAATGATGACGGATGATAATGGCAGCAGCAGCCGTTCTTTTCTGCATGAGTAGCTTAATGTTGTTCGTGTGTAATTTACGTTGAGTACGCTAACCACGTTATTACATTAATGCATGTAAGGTGAACTAGCAAACACCGTCGTAGGTACATGCAGCTGTCTTCTTGTTTGATGGCAGATACTCCCTTCACGCTGGCCAAAAAGGCTAAAATGACCAAAGAAAAAGTGGGAAACAGCTAAACATGAGAGGTTTTTGGACAAAGTTTGTTTTTTCCATTGTTTAAGCACTGCTTCCAGCCAAGAGTGATGCCATAAATCCCCTATAGCTGCAGAAAAGGCTAACATTGTTATCTTTTTACAAAAAAACAGCTGAACATGAGAGGTTTTAGGACAAAGTTTGTGTTCTCCATTCTTTAAGCACCGGTTCGAGCACCGTTTAAGCACCGGCACCGTTTCAGAAGTACCAGTTTGGTACTGGTATCGGATAAAATCTAAACAATACCCATCCCTAGTGACACACTGGAGGGGAGCACAGCTGATCCTAATTCACAAGACGACAGGAAGACACAAGCTGACACAGTGATAACAGACACAGACCTTCAAAGTAAAACAGGAAATTCACAAAGACAAACTCAGGGACACGAACAAAGCACCAGGGGAATGACACAGGAAATAAACCTAGAACCATAGCTGGACTGGCATTTGCCCGGTGGGCCGATGGTGATTTTTCGTTTTTATGGGCTGTTGTTTTTTGTTTTTTTTTTCGTTTTTTTCCATAACGGTATAAACACTGAAAGGTGGTGGATTGGCCAGATGCTGGGAGATGTGTAAAATTAACTCAGTTGTTTGGTGGTGGCTATTGCGGAGCTTCCACAGATTCAGTAACATTAGCAAGTGGTGGAGGCCAGCAGATGCAACACGCTGGCAGGTGGATGACGGAAAGGCAGGAGGAGCAGAGACCCGAGGCGGTGAACTGAACTTCAGGTAAGAAGTTATGACCTGCAGTCTATCTGGTCAGATATAAACCAAGTTTAGGTGGAGTTTATTTTCGTTATGCTGACTTTTTACAGTCAGTTACAATAACTCGTACTGCGTACTAGCTAGCATGATGGAGTTTATATACTGCTGGGCGGGTGCTATGATGTTACTGATGTTGAACTTGTTTTATCTTGTCTGTGTCTTTGCGCTGCACAGCTTCCTCTTCTTCTCTCATTCTCTCCCCTCCCTCTCCTGTTGCTACTTCAATCATGAAACTGATCAATGATCAGCTGATCGGCTTTTCTCTCTTGTTTGTTTATCGCCCACTTTGCGCCAGAAAGAGGAAACCAGCGGATGTCGTGCTAAACAACAGCAGCACGTTTAAGCTTGATCAGCTGTTGTTAGAATTTATTTAATATTAATTTCTAGTATCAGCTGATGTTTGCTGGAGCCACAGCTGTAAAAGCTGCTGGTCATGATGTCGGTTTGGATTGTGGTGAGAAGGAAACATGAAGATGAAACCAGGAGATATCCTTACTGAATCATCAGAGCTGAACAGGTGATGGAGAAACAGGTTCACCTTTTAGGTGACATGAATGAGTTGAAGGGAAGTTATGAACTGTTTCTGAGAGACAAATAACATCAGGATCCTTTTCTAAGTAGCTGACAGCTGGTAACTGCAGCAAAGTTTTGCCAGGGGGGCAGGTAGGCATTAACAGGGAGAGGGGGGCACAAAGAAATACTTTTCTTTTTTATTCTCATGCCTCGCTTTTAAAAAATAATTATCTGAATCTTACAACAAATGTTTTCATCTGATGTAAAATGTATAGAAATCCATTATTGCACATAGTAATTTTTTTTAGGATCCCATCATAATTTCTTCAGAAGTAGCTAAGTACTGCATATGATGCCAGTATTTTCCCACATTTTCTAGATACTGTACCAGTATTGTGTGCAAAATGCCATCAAAAAGTCAATTAAGTTTTATTCTTTCTCACCTGTCTTTCTGTCTCCTTTCACTTTTTAAAGGTTGCCATGTTAGAAAAAATATTTTGCCCTGCCATGCTGTTTATTGATGTGGCAAATGAATGGTTTATGAAAATATATCTAAATCTGTCATCAGTAATCAGTAATGATCATGTCTCCCCTCTAGTCTTCTCTGTCTTAATTTCAGGTTTTCACCATGTGTTGTAGATAGTTCAGGAGGTTAAGTCGACCAAGCAGTTTAGAATACCAGAATAGGGAGGATGGTGTAGGTTTAAGTTTATTAGACTGATACATATATACCAACAAGACAGTCTGCATCACTGTGACAACAGCGTTTGTTTTCATTCAAAGGCTTTATGGTTTTTCCTATAATACCTGGTGGGCCGGTCTCTAGTCAAAATGCCCGGGCCGATTTTTTTGTCCAGCCCTGCCTAGAACTGGAAACCCTGAAAATGAAACCTACATACTAATAAATATAACCATGAAGAAATTAAACATCAGATCAGCTAATAATAATAATAACGCCAAAACGCTGGGTCAACTACCCAGCACCATGACAATGTTGCTGCCATCACACTCAAATTGTGCGTTTCCTTAGTTCAAGCACTGATAGATTTTTGTTCTGACCCAGTGTGAATAATATCCTGTTCCCTCAGTCCAACACGCCCACTCACCAGAGGAGTGCCGTCAGTCCACTGGAAGTCATTCTCTATGGTCTTGTCATTCAGCCCGATCCACTGGTAGTCTTGTGCATTTGCTGTGGAGACAAAACAAAGCGCCTCGATTCTCTCTCTGCTCCCGTCTCTCACACACATCCGATAAATACTCACCGTTGACAGAGTTCTGCTCCTCTGGGGAGATGATGCTGACCAGGTGGGCGTTGTGATCGCGGCAGCGCTGCTCCGCTGTCACCCACGTCTCTCTCTCGGTGAAGTGTCGGTAGCAGTTCCCCTGAAACTTAGTCCAGCCTTCTTCACACGGCTGCTCCTCTGCGGCCGCAACAGCAAAGAATGAGCACTGTGAGACCGCTCGCTCACTTCAGCGCACAGATTTCTCAATGCAACGCGTCTTTTTCAGGGGTCAGAGTTTAGATACGAAGTGTTCATTAAAGCTTGTTACTCGTCCACAACTACAAACGAGTGTGCTAAGTAAAGTTCAATTCAATTTTATTTATATAGCGCCAAATCACAACAAAAGTTGCCTCAAGGCGCTTCATAAGCGCCATCTTCTCTTCACTTTATTGATTTTTGCTCTCGGCTGTTGATGTTGTGAGTCAGTGAGAATCACACTTTGCCCTGAGTGGGTTTGCTGTTGTGTACAGTTTGACAAAGGGCAGCGTTTCCATCCTGACCTACAAAACAAACAACTCTTTACTGAGAGGAAAATCAGGCGTAGCATCCTGCTGGACAGTAGGGCCTGCCCAATTTCCACCTTTTACTGCAGCATTCAAAGGCTTCATTCACTCTGTAGCTCCGTTCTGTTCATTTTCATTTATGGGCCACTTCAAACAAATGACACAAAACACACACATTTTTCCATTTAGTCCTGTTTAGCTCTATTATAGCAGACAACTCTGGATTTATCTGAGACATCCACCTCTGAGATGCTTTGCCTGTCCACATACAACACGTCATTAATAATGTAAATTATTTCTGTAATTAAGAAAAAACTCGCAATGTTGGATTTGGGCCTAGAAATCTCAGGAACGTTTCTATTTACACTGGATTTTAGTCTACTGGCCTCCAGTAACACCGTGAAAACCCCTTTTTGGTCAGCACGTGTCCTTTAATCTGCACATGAAATAAATCTGTGGACCTGATTTTACTCATCTGTGCAACACTGCTACAATTAGAACCACCGCGTCTCACAGAGATGCACAGACACTGGTCCCTGCACAGGCAGGGCTGTGGAAAGTCCTCGTTTTCAGGTGGAAGAGCCTTCAGTTGAACCAAAACGCTGCTGGGATTAAAAAGAGATCTTATATTATTAGTTTCTATTGTAAGGTCCCAGTTAAAAGAAGCACTTGAATGAATGATCAGACCCCATCACACGATCAGTCAAACTAGCCCAACAGAGCACTTCCCTCTCACACTGTGGGCTGACTTCCAGGGGTGTTTGAAAGTAAACTGGGAGGCAGAGCCTTCAGCTCTAAGGAACCAGCTCCCAGTTTGGATTGGAGACAGTTCTGGACACAACTGTTGGTCTAGTTTTTATTCTGAGCCCAACGTGCCTGCTGTCTCACTCCTCTGAGTTTGAACTACACGTGCTGCTGTCTTCAGCTTTGTTTTGGTTAGTCTAGTTTATTTTGTGTAGTTTATTTTTAATCATTTTTAATTTAAATGTTAATAAACTTAGGGACTCCAATAGAGACAGACAAACTCTCATTATTAATAAAGCTCTGTTAGGACTGGACCTGGTGAACAGGTTTCTTCCTGTTAAAAGGGAGTTCTTCCTCCCTCTGTCTCCAAGCACTTGCTTGTAAGAGACCACCTGGTTGTTGGGCTCGTTTCTGAATATTGTCTATGGTCGGTTCTTTCCCTTACACCTTACAAGTATCTTGAGATGACTGATGTTGTGAGCTGGCACTGTGTAAACAATGTAAGTGAATAACTGAAAGAAATTATAATAATAATTCACACCAAAGATCTGCAGGCCTGAGTGTGGACTGAAGTTTATGAAGGTCTAAAGAATGTTTTTCTGTACATTAGGATGCTCTGTAACACGTTCACTGTTACTCTGGCTCACCTGGATGACTGCTGCAGTAAAATGAAGTTTAGTAAATGTTTGCAGCAGTAAAACCACTAAACCATTACTGCCTCTCTGACAGAACACAGGCTCCCATTGCAAACCAGGAACATCACAGATACATGCCATGAGCCACCACAGCTGCTCACACAACAACTAATACTGCCATCTGCTGGTGATGCCTCTCGTTCTCTTGCTTCAGTTGTTTTTGAGGTTGTTAGTATTTTTTAGCTGAAGCTGATCTCATACCGATCTCACAGCGCTCCCCTCCGTAGCTGGGCAGGCATAAGCATTTGAAAGAGTCTACAGTCTCCACACAGGTGGCTCCATTGGCACAAGGGTCGGAACGGCACACATCTACCTCTGCAAAAAAGGGGGGCGGGTAACACTACTGTTACAGCGAGGTGTGGGGACGGGAGGCGGATCAGCAGGGTGGGGAACAATACCATGCAATGCAACTTCAGATTAGACTTACTGCACCTAGAATCATCATCCATGTTCCTTTGTTAACAGCTCTCTCAGGTTAGCATGTGCGAATGACATTGACATTTATATACTGAAATATACACCAAAATATCCGATTGTTGCAAGGAAGAATGATTCTAGTCCCTGCAGTAAGTATATCTTTGAATCCTTTGCTAGTTGCAGCAGAAAATCACCATTTAACTCCCAGCAGGATGAAAGCACATATGTTGCAGTTAGATTTAGCATGCATGCATGAGCAGAGGAGGCGTGCTGGCATGGCAGACCAAAAACAGCACACAGGCTGAAGAAGACACTTGTGATGAACACGAGACACAGACGCGGTAAATCCTCAGAGCAGAGACGATGCACATTTGACAAACGGCCGAACGTGAACATCTGTCACACAAACACAAAGACCCAGAGCTCGACACAGAGAGACAACAAACCCAAGCAAAAATACAGTCAGGACACAACAGCAGAGAAGGAAAACAGAGACTGTGAGTCTGCTTCATGAACACTGACTACAGTTACAACAGGTTAAATGTTTATCTGGAAATAAACCCTCAGATAACAGGCTGACTAATGCACAGACTGCAGACCAACAAAAATGTAACACATGCAGACAACAAACAGAAATGTTTCAGGCAAAGTCTGTTAACAGGTACTGAACAAAGCTGCTGTCAGAGAAGGAAATGAGAAACTTACCGTCACAGAAGGCAACGCCGTTCTCTGCAGTGCATGAAGCATCGCCACAGGGGTTCGGTTCACATGGGCCAACATGTCCTTAAAAACAATGCACACTGATTCACACAATACGTCCTCCATGAATGACACACACCAGCACAACTTAGAAAGACACAAGAGGCTTTGGCTTTAGCCATCTCAAATATCTCTAAGACGGAAAAGACTGTGAGATGAGCACACTCACATGTATACACTGACATTATTAATTATACAGATGAACTGCTTAAAAGGTATAAGTGTGACGAATTCTCAATATAGGAACAGAAAACCAGAAACACAAACCGGAACATATTTACCAAGAGTTTAAAACAAAACACAACACAAAAATTCTTCCACTGGAATTAATATGAGCAGAGGAAAAAACACAAAAGTAAGTATTAGCTCCATTAACACACCAGAAAATTACAGTTAAAATAATAAAGAAGACAAACTGGGAACAAAACACAACCTGACACTAATAAAAACTGAGAGCTCAAGAAGAATAAACGTTCAATAAACCAGATCACAAAAGTAAAAAAAAACAGCCAAAAACAAAATAGAAAAGAGATCCATGGAGGCAAAATAACAAATGAGACACGATGAAGAAAATATAGATAATAAATTATTTAAAACACCAACAGCAAAACAGACAAAATGTTCACTGTGATGTTGTACTGGAGTGGAAAAGCATCACAGTGTGAGGCTGAGAAGGATGCAGCACATGCAGCTACACTGTGTATACTACACTGTATACGGTGTACTAAAGAAAAAGAAAGAAAGACGTAGATTAAGAAGCATGTTGTTTCAAGTGTTTCTGTATTTTTTAAACTATATTTATTGTTAAGCTTCTCAAAAAACTGTGACGCCACGAGTGCAGTGATTGGTTGGGCTTACGACTTATCATCTTGTCAGCACAGTTAGGCTGAAATGTAAACACTGAGTCTGTGCTGGCATTGAAATTTTGCAAGATACAAGTAATGTAGATCCTGCGCAAGTTTCCAAAAGACGTCAACAAATTAACAGAAAGTGTACTTGTGAACTTATTATTTTTAAGGGGCTTAATGCTAAAATTCAAGTATTTTCTATTGTGCATTGATAAGCTGAGCCTCAGTGACACCTGTCATGGGTGAAAACCCAGCAATAACCAGAGTTTCACTCATTTAGCAGTTGTTAGCGGCAGCAAGGATTTGGGTTTGCTATGTGATCACCAGCCAGTCTCTAGGCCTTTACTTTTGAAAAGTAAAACTAAATACACACGACCAGCTGTTGCATGTACAGGGATAAAGGGATTCATATCTTACTTTTCCATCAGTCACTAAACTAAGAATAAAACCTTGCAGGTCACTAAAATCACTTCTGTTTCTGATTTTCTTCACTTAGTCGGGGTTAAACAGTTTCAGTGCACGTGTAAAAATCAAACTGATATCCGCACTGCCTGTAACACTGACTGTGCAATATGTCAAGCTGCGAATCGGCTCACAATCAAGTGTAGGAAAGTAAAAGAAATAAGACTTTATCACAGCTTTGGTAAATGTTCTGTTCTCATGTATACGAGGGTTTTTTTTTCTCTGCCTGAGCCCTTTAACCTGATGTTCCCTGACTCAGAAGACCATGGATGCATAGCTCCACGTAGAGTATCTGTAGAGCGGGAATCATACCACTGATGTTCTGATTGGTACCAACTGTACCTCCTGATCAATAAGACTTTAATATAAACGCCTTTTGATCATTTATTTAGTTTTTGCTCTCTTTAAACTTTGTATCTGTTTGTGACACACTTCAACATTTAACTGTTTCTATTCTTGACATTTAATGTCTGTGTTCATTTTTCTTTGCACAGTTTGAATGTTAGAAGAAGATCATAGCTCGCACAGGTAAAGTATCAACAACATTTAGGCTGGGTGGTTCCCACTCACAGGGTCTCATTACAGCCACAGGCCCACTGGGTGGATGCTTCTGCAGCCCTGCCTTACTTAGTTTTTCAGTGCGCTTTATAAATAACGTTTATTATTATTATTGCTTTGTTGACGGCACAAGTTAAACCATGCATGGAAAACAGTTTACAGGGTAAGGCAGCCGTTCCTGTAGTTTGGCATCAAATCAAAGAAGTCGCTTAGGTGAGAATGACTACGTAGACATGTAACGTGCTGCTAACAGTAAGTAGCAGCTAGCTTGGCACACGCTAACTTTTTCAGGTAACAATCATTCAAATCTGATGCACAGCTTAGTTTTTATTGCTGATGAATGATTCGATTTTTTGAATCCCACCAAGCAAAAGCAAGTATAAAGTTAACCATCTGTTTCAGGAACTACAATAAAGCAACAGTTTCCTCTCAAAGGTGCATATTTGCAGCAGCTAGCACATCAACACACCACCACCACCAAAACACACCTAGTGGTTATGGTTATAGTGACACCCTTAAAAGTAATGAACTGAACATTTTAATTGGCACAAACAGCTACAGAGTACTTCATGTTGATTTGATTTAACTACCAAAGGACATGATATTTTAAATCCAGAGCAGAAAATCTAAATTGTGTCAAGAATATATTTACTAACCTTCAACAGGGCCTGATGTCTGAACAGAGGGTGGTGCAACTGTAATGGGAGGTGCTGCTAGTCCTGCCGGGACAACCGCAGGGGCCAGAGTTACAGGGACATCATCGGGGGTCTCTGGCACGCCATTAGGGTCCTCCTGTGGTCCTGTGGTGCTCTCTGTCACATTGCACTCAATGATGGGATAGGCCACTGGCAGATGCCTAGAAGGGCCTTCTGAAAAAGTCGTGCTGGCAGCAGATGAGTCAGAGTCTCCACTCCCAGGGTAAGAACCACTGCCACTACTACTTCCTTCTCCACTGTACTCCAACGGCCCCTTACCAAGCTCCGAAAACAGCGTGCCTGAGTCCTCTGGTGATGTGTTTTCAGATACCTTTGTCATTAGATCCTCAGACTGAAAGATAACACTGCCTCCTCCTGCACTTGTAGAGGACTCGTAGCCAGAAAGTCCTGATCCAGACAGAGAATGAAAACTTGAGCTTCCAAATCCAGACAGATATCCACCACTTCCCTCTGCAGAACTGTAGAGTAAAACCCCAGATGCCTCCTCCTCCACTCCAGACGATGACCCTGTCAGCTCAGTGAACCCTGAACCCACCAAAGTCACACCAGGGAAAAATTCAAAGACCCCTCCCGAGGCCGAGGCAGTGAGGTCCCCACTGAGGTCCCCACTGAGATCACCACTGACGTCTCCACTGAGGTCCCCACTGAGGTCCCCACTGAGATCACCACTGAGGTTCCCACTGAGGTCCCCACTGAGGTCTCCACTGAGGTCCCCACTGAGATCACCACTGAGGTCCCCACTGAGGTTCCCACTGAGGTCCCCACTGAGGTCTCCACTGAGGTCCCCACTGAGGTCCCCACTGAGGTCCCCACTGAGGTCCCCACTGAGGTCACCACTGCAATCTCCATTAAGATCACAAATGAGAACGCCAGATCCTGAAATGTCCCCAGAGCCACTGAAGAAGTCTCCACTAAGCTCACTGTATTTACTGGAGGTGGTTGCATCAATCAGTTTATCATCTATCAATAAGATCTGAGCGTCTCCACTCCCTGAAAGCTCTCCTGACTGTCCACTACCACTTCCAGAGGAAAATTTGGATGGAAAACTGCTAGAGCCAGAAAACTCCTGACCAGTGACGAAACCAGAGGACATGTCTGTGGAAGAACCACTTTCTGTAGAACTGAAACCAGATCCAGACCAGGACGCATCCCCACTACCACTCAGCACTCCAGATCCCACATCAGATGAAAGGAAAGTAAGGATCTCTGTGCTTCCCTCTCCAGCTTCTTGAGGTCCTCCAGAACCTGAGTCCTCGCCTGAAGGAGTGGAGTCAGTGCCTGAAAAACAAATACTGATCGTGGACCCTTCTCCACTACCTGATCCAGAAACATCTGTACTACTGGGACCTGATTCTCCGCTGGGTAGGTCAGCATGCGCACTGCCAGCCAGGTCTCCAGAGCCAGAGGAAGGGAGGTCTTCAGAAGCAGAGCCATCTCCAGAAGTAGCCTTATCTCCAGAACCAGAGGAGAAAATCTCGTCTGCAGACAAACATGGCTGTCCAGATCCAGACGATTCTCCAGAGTGACCTCCAGATGTGTAATCTACTACAGAAGTGTCTCCTGAGCCTGAACCAGAGCCTGAATTCTCTACATTGATGGGAGGAGATATGGAGGGAACAGCTGAGAACAGAAATTGAAAGTTAAGCTTAGAAACAAACGGGAACAAATGGGTAATCCAGTCATGCTCTGAAGGGAACTCACCAGGTCGTAACAAATGGGTAGCTGATGTCAGATTTAGTAGAGCCTCCTCAATTTCTGTGACGTTCAGTCCAGTTTCATCTGCAATAAGCCGAACGTCAGCTGTGAAAATGTAAGTGAATGATGATCATGGTGGTTAAGAGTCAAGTATAAGGTATAAATCGTCAATATAAGAATCCCTGTTTGGGAGAAAGACAAATGAATTTTCTGTCCCCTGGTTGCCAAAATTGGGAGAATAGTTTAAAAAGCAAATGTGTAGTTAGACCTCAGAGGGTTAATGAAAGGTAGAGACATTCAGGATTACCTCTGAAACAGTAAGCATCAAATCTGGCATCAAGTTCAGGATAGCCAGTCTGGTGATTGTACACAGTGTGCACTCCTATTTTCCCCGCTCCGCACTCCGCACGTGGATTGTTGATGGGATAGCGCACACTGCGATCTAGTAGCCAGCCTGCACGGCACTTGTCAAAGCCCATTTTCCAGGCAGCATAGAGATGTCCTGTGGAGGCCGCTGTGGCGTTCTGCTCTTGACAGCTACGAACAGCCTCACTGTAAGTGAAACCTTCAGCTGATTCAATGTGGAAAACCTCTCCTGTGGAACAGATGACAGTGAATAACCAAAATCTATACAATATTACAAAGTCATAACTAAAACTTTAGGCTTTTATCACCTTTGAGCCCGTCAGTGTAGCAGTACACATCGTATCTCTCGTGTGCTGGCCTCAGACCGTAGGATCGAACCCCGGGTCGATCTCCCAGATCTCCAACACAGCTTTCTCGAGGGTAAGCGATAGGATACCTACACAAGAGCACCCAACTATAAAACCTGGTTTAAAACAGAAATCTCTTCACTTGCTCCAGAATAGCAATCCAGAATTACCTTACAGTCTGATCCAGTAGCCAACCTGCGTCACACTGCTGGTATCCAGCTTCATACGCTGCCTGCAGCTGCTGAGGCGTGGCGATTGAGCCTCCAACACTCTGGCAGGCTTGTTGGGCCTCGACAAAGGTGAAAGCGTAGCGGCCGGCAGCTGAACGGTAATGGAAGACCACGCCTGTAGAGGAATCAGGAGAGACTACTGTGGGTTGAAATCCTGGAACGTCATTATTAGGGAATCTCTCTGGTCCTTCTTCAGTTATTATAGCATGCATCAGCGGCTCATTTACTGACCGCTTGGAGGTATCACAAAGCCTTTGTGTGGCTCCCTGCCAACATCCGGCTGTGCTGTGGCTGACTGTATCAGATCATTGACAGACTCGGTGATGTTTGGCGGCTCAGCCAGAGGCGGGTCGGTGGGGCTTTCTGTGTAGGTGAAGTCCACGTTAGTAGGCATCATAGTCTCCACCTCTCCGGCAGCCTCACTCTCTGTCGTCGTGCTCCTGAAGAACACCTCTGGGCTCTGTGTCACTGTGGTGACTCGCGGCACACCGCTGCCCTCTTCTGTCATGCCTGAGCTGTCTTCATCAGTCGATTCTGGAGGTGACAGAGGAGATGACGTCTAAAGGTGAGTTTTTAAAGAATCTTCTGGAGGAGCTGGTTTGAGCAAGCCACCTATAGGCCATAAGGTTAACGCATTAGCCTGGGAATCTGCCCTGGAGCCGTTTACCCAGTCTAACCCAGTCTAACCCTAGCCCTAGTCTTTTAATTAGGCCTTATCCACTCACAGTATTCAATGATACACATGTCATTGAAAAACTTACAATATGGTGTATTATTTATATAAAATCCCAAAATGTCATGTTGTGGTCAAAGTGTCACAAAAAGTAATTAGATTGCTGTTACTTTCCCGTAAGCACGCTGCGTTACTAAAACTTGATTTTGTTTGTGAGCGTCTCTCATGACAACGACGTACGAGCGTGCGACGTCCGTGGTAACAGACGTGTGCAGATCAACAACGGATAATATGTAGTGCAGGAGAGAGTACCACCGTGCAGCGTTTACAGCGTGGAAGTAATCACATTACTTTGAGTTTGATTCAGTAAAAAGTGACACAAACATTAGCGTCTGCTGTTCACTCTGTGTGGGAAGAAAACTTCTTTCTACAGCGAAAAGTTAAACTTCAAATCTGAGCGAGCAGCAAGCACGCCGCCACGGGAACGTGACATTCACAGAGAAACCCCCGGATCCTCCCACTGACATGACCGCTGTGGGCAAACCTCCACCCACCCCACTCCTGCTAAACACAGACAATAGATTTAAGAGCTGCTGAGTCTTCGATTCTATTCATTTTTACTGTTTTACTTGCATCTATTTGAAAGAGTATAAGCACAAAACATGATTTTATTTTATATGCTGGAATACGCAGAACATAGGTTTAAATGTTAAACACATTTCTTCAAGTCAAAGACTGTTGATATCATTTAATGTTTGCTTGATGCATAAAGTTAAAATTAATAAAACATTTTTTTCATTTGATTCAGTTTTGTATGATGGATTATGCAGAAAAAATAGAATTGGGCTGAAAGTTCTGTTGCTTTATTACGTAAGTAATAAAGTAACTAATTACTTTTGAATTACCTTTTTCAAGTAACTTGACCGACACCACCTACATGTTAGAACTACAGGAGCTGCTCAGTGAGGGAAACCCTTGCCATGAAGCTCCCAGTGCAGTTTTTGTGCTGATGTTAATGCCAGAGGAGCTCTGGGAAGCTCTGGGAAGCTGCAGTTACTGCGTCAGTGGAGTACTGGTGTGTTTTAGACACCATGCACCACAGCACTGGCTGACCTCTCTCTGTAACTTAAGTGGTCTGCCACTTTCGGGCTGAGTTGCTGTGGTTCCTATACACTTTTACTTCGCAAGGGGATAGAAAGTTCAGCTGATGTGTAGCATTGGCGTCCTATTACAGTACTACACTCAGTGAGCTCTTTAGAACGACTCTTTTTTCACAGATATTTGCAAACTGCATGATAGTTTTGCACCATTCGGCCACGTGATCCAGTATTGATCAAGTGAATAATGCCACAGTCCCACATTTGACTGTGGCATTATTATGTCAGTGGCTAGAGACCAGTCAGTGACCTTCTGAATGGTAAACTGGTTGGTGAAACCCTCTTTACTTTTAGATTGCTGCAATTGTTCGTAGTTTGCAGATAAGATCTCAACTTGTCTGCTAGCAAGTGTAACCGCTCACCCTTCGAGCGGTTATAAGACTGTAAACAATGGCACACAAACAGTAAAGGGAAATTATTGGCCTTCAGAGTAAAAGCTCTGTTCCACAGTTGCATCTTTTACATTGAAGACAAACAGTCCCTGTCTGTGGTTTGTGTTGGTGCAGCAAGCTGCTAGCAACCAAGGGAATCACCAGGAGGTTTCTGCTGCAGAACTGTCTTTCTGACCAGTGTCAGCAGAAGGCCCCTCCAACTCTGGTGACAGGTGATTGATCACACTCTCTTGATCAGTGTGTGCAGGACATGACAATCCAACAGCCCTAGAGAAACCGTGGCATCTCTGGGGCTGTAGGATTCAAAGATTCAGAGGTTTGTACTTTAATCTGTTTAGTATATGTAGGTTCTAGTAATATGCAACTGTTTCCTGCACATGTAAAATGTGGCAATACATAGCTAGTGAAAGTACAGATGCACACTTGTGTGCTTTTATTGTGTGAGCGATACCTGTGTAACAGAAGGCGTCACAGCGAGACTCGGGAAGAGGATATCCTGTCTGGTTTGCGTGAAGATAAACAGTCCGTACCCCGATCAGCCCGCCTCCACACTGTGGCCTACGAATGTTGATGGGATAGCGGACACTCCTGTCTGCGAGCCAGCCAGCGTTGCAGACATCCATCCCTCCTTGCCAGGCCAGGTACAGCTGACCTGTAGTGGCCAGCTGAGCACCCTTATTAGAGCACGCCAACACAGCCTCTGAGAAGGTGAACTTCTCTGCAGTCGCAGTGTAGAAAACTCTGCCTGTCTCAGATAAAGAGCTTTGTGAGAAAAATAAAGAATACAAATCATGAAAGGATGAGTTTAAAATGCATTAAAGTGTACCTGTCATCTTCTCAGCAAAGCAGTAAACATCATAAGTCTCATTGAGATCCCTCACGCCGTAGGTCCTGACTCCAGGCAGTTCTACTTTGTCACCATAGCAGTTCATACGAGGACTCTGGATTGGGTACCTGTGGTTAAACAAAGTAATGTGAAGAAGAAAACACTGAAAACTAAACTCATGTTTGCTGCTGTACAGAAGTTTAACATGAGCACATTGTGATCTGCTCACATTAGCTTTGTCCTTTCAGACCACAATTCGTTGATTTCACGTTTTTCCTTAAATCCACAGTAAAGTGTTTTAAAAACACATTTCAAAGAAGTTGAGAGCAGACTGGAAAATATGTCTATTTTAAGAAAACTCCCAGTACGACGAATTGTATTAACTGCTAAACATGCCCAGGAAAGAAAGGAGAGGCTTGGTGCTTCATAAGTGGGAATGGAAAGAAATAATATTTCTCTATAAACTATTACAAGTAATTTGGGGATATAATAATCTGCAGTCTTGCAGTCTCTGTTCTAATTTATCCCAAAGTTGTCATATCAGGTTAAGCTCAGGACTCTGTGCAGGCCAGTCAAGTATTTCCACACCAACCTCAGTCATCTTTATCGACCTTGGTTTGTGCACTGCTGCGCAGTCATGTTGGAACAGGAAGGAGCCATCCCCCAAAACTCCAAAATGTCTTGTTATGCTAAAGCATTAAGAGTTCCTTTGACTGGAACTACGGGGCCAACTCCAGCCCCGCACCATAATCCCCGCTCACCAAACTTTACCAGCTCTTAATCAACATTTTTTTGATTAAGATGCCAAATTACAGTTTTTTACTGAACAGAAAAATGAGTTTTAGTCCTATGTTGTTCTGCTTGGTTAATTCTGACCTCAGCGCTGGCTTAAACTTAAGTTTAAAAAAGTGAATTTAGCCATTTTCGTTTTTGGCAGATTTCTCAAATAGGTTTCTTTTCTTGCTTTTATGAAGGGCCATGTTATAAATTTTGGAAATAAAACTAGTGAGTAGTTGCTCCTTGGGTGGGTGCTGACCTGACTGTGTGATCAGAGAGCCAGCCAGCGTCACACTGGTGAAAACCGTCATCGTACGCCGCTTGGAGCTGTTCGGGTGAAGCCATTACTGCACTATTCTGGGTGCACGCTGCCTTCGCCTTTTCAAAAGTCAAACTGTAGCGTCCCATGATGGCCCTGTAGTGGAACACAGTGCCTGGAGAGACAAAAAGTGGGATAACAATAAGAAAGAGCGATGGTGCGATGTGACCAAAAAATCCATATAATTTTGGTCATTTTGTCAACACTATCACATAAAAGTAAAAAATCAAAAGAAAAGGTATCAACTCCTGCCTCGCAGACATCATGTGTCACTCATACCTTGAACCTGGACGTGCACGATGCTGTGGTTGTCCTCGATGTCGTGCTGAACCTCACAGCGATACACTCCCGTGTCACTGGAACGCAGCTCAGATATCCTGATGCTAGCGTTTGTCGGGGTCCCAGGATAAGCTACCAGCTGGACTCTGTCCTGGTAGTTCTCAGTGATATGCACTTTCCCCCCCTGGGCAACAATGATGGTTGTGGCCTTTTCTTTAGTCACAAAGCTCCATTTGATCCGATGAGACAAGGGGGCAATGGTGGGAGCGCCAGGGTCGTCAACAGTGTGATCCTATGAGAGGCGACATCATTTACAAACGTTTTCGAGGGTTTATAGACACAAACATACGTACATACATGTCAGGTAGTTAAAGTAATATGACAGGTTCAATCTAAGCTTCTGTTACTTTATTTGCTGACTAAGCAGCTGTACTGTTGTTTTGATGTCAGGTCTGCTGAGATTACTGATCTATTGCATTCTGTGTAGTGGTTAACACGTGTGCTCCTAACGCTAACGCTGAAGCTAATGATGTCATGGTGGCTAAGGCCTTCTTTTATATGGCACACAAAACAAAGGTGTAGTTTGCCATTTACACACCTCAAAGTGGCACGGTAACATCAGCGTTCCCCCCAGCAGAGGGCGCTGTGGACCCTCCAGGAGAATGATGACACTCAGTACATCCTCTGGGTCTGTGAAGGTCAGACATGCACACAGTGTAGAAAGACAAGACTGCTACACGCCAGTGCTGACTGATGAGGACACTGGAGAGAAACTGTAAGCTGCACTTCTTACCCATATAGGACTGCTGCTCATAAACATCATATGTGGCTGAGGTGACAGTCACATACAAAGCCATCAGCACCGTCCCCCGGATCATGTTCATCCTAAAAATCAAACAGGAAAATTAGCAGGAACACGACTGTGACTCGAACTCTTCGTCACACTTGGACGCTGATGTTAAATGCTAATCCTTTTTTTTATGTCCTACCTTTAGAAGTGAAAAAAGAGAACTTAATCTAAACTGTTGAAGAACAGGTCAATTAAAATGAGACCACAAAGGTATTATAACCTCAGTTTCTTACTTCCTGCAGTCCATAGCCTGAGTGTGTAAAACGTGCTGTACTGAGATGCTGTAGCACTACGAGGCTGGTTCTGATCATTTATTCAAATGATCACAGAAAGATTTCAGGTTCTTTGTCTCTGGTAAAGACTATACTTATCATAATAATTCAGTAATAATAAAAATTACAGTGAAAATATTAAAATTACACTGAAACAAAAACTACTGCAGCTAATCTGAACTGATAATGGAAATTATAAACCCCCCAAATTTCAAGTATAAATACAAAGCTGTAGTAAGTCGTCAGTCCAGTGACCAATATATTCGCACAGGTGACCTTTTGATGGGCGGAGCAGTGGAACCGTGCAGGGACTGATTTGTGCGTTTAGAATTTACATGTTTTGTTTGGAGGGAACATTTTACCTTCTTTTCTTGTTTATTTCAGTATTAATAAAGCTACTTTTTGGATTATTCATTTATTTATTTGAGATGTGCCAAATCCCACAAGACTTAACTTTACTTCTAAGATTTTTTTTATGTTCGCTGGAAGAGACATTTTGATTTTTAATATACTTTTTTCTTTAAATTTGTATTTGTTTGGCCGAGTGTGTGAAAGAGATACACACTGGAACGTCCTGGAAACGTGGTTACAGTGGAAAAAAGAAGCCAGTTTCTCTCTGTTTCCCTCCCCACCATTGTGGGGTTTTTATTTAAATAAAATGATTGTTGTTTTCTGAACAGAGGCTGCTGCTGTTCTGAGTAAATGAATCGCTGCATTTGCAGCGGGAAGAGGCTGCCGTTAAAACAGCACTATCATTTTTTCTGCTTCTCTTAGTTCAGCCAACATTATTAGCAAACTTGCTCATGAGCCAAATAAATAAATAAATGGCTCTTGTATAAACGATCGGTGAAAGGCTCAGCCTGTCCTTAAAGCTTAAACTGGCTCACATACAAATAGACATTTGATATTTTCTACTTTAATTATTTACTTCGTGCTTCATGTTTTCTACTGGTAAACTTTTGCGTTTGGCTTTTTGGAGGAAGTTGGTGAACAAATGGGCAGTAACTGCATTCTTTGAACCCCTAAAGCTGGAGGGTCGATGTCTGGGCTAAGTGACAGCTCATTAGCACTGAGTTTGTGTGAGTGGTGCTGGTGGCCAGCTCCACACTGCATTCATTCAGCCGCTGTGATAAAGTCTACTCCCACAGAGACTGGGCCCATAAGACCAGATCTGTTCCCCGTGAAGCCTGTGTTATGGCAGCTCTGACGACACCAGGTCTGTGTAAACAGCACTGCGTAGATTCCAGAGTCCGCCCTTTCCATCGCGTCCTAACACTGCTCACATTCAGGCCGGAGACCGGAGTGCGACGTGATGGAGGGAGGCCAGTCAGGCCTTTGATCCTGGACAACGACTGAATTTATATTTCTTTACATGAGGCAAAACGTTCATGTGATGCACCAGGTGTAAAAATGTCATGTTTGTTACAGGTAATGACTGTGTTGTTCAACCATGGGAGGAAATTAAGGTGTGAGATAGGATGGCTGAGCCCCAATACTGTGCTCTTCAGTGAACTAGCTGACGTTAAGTAATGTTCAAATATGGACTCGGAGTTCTGCTTCCAGGTATAGATGCATACAAGATGGTTTGGCCCACCACCCACCACTCTGCTTTACAAAGTCAACAAGGACAGTTTAAAATCCTTTTCCTGGTTACTTTTCTTTGACCTTAATGCTAAATGCTAATTGTAAAGGCTGCAGCTTCAGACAGATGCTGAATTACAGTAAACAATAAAAAAGGAAGAATTGATAAGTTTGATAATATTTTTGGTCTAAATGCTCTTTCATTTGCCTAAAAGCAAACACACTAAACTCTGAGAGTTAAAAACAGACCAGCTGACCAGAGAGGCTGTTCTCACACTTATTACTGGGCACGCATGAAAAAAGGGATGAACATGTTTGCACTGTGAAAAACAGAAACACCAGTAAGAGCCGAAGAGTCAGTGAACTGGTGCTACTTAATGCCACAGTTCTTCTGGTCTGAGGCGAAGCATCAAAAAATGAGCTTTAAGAAAGAGCGCTTAAAGATGTACATCCATGAACAGGAGTAATAAAAGGCTGCAGAGGCCATGAATGACAGCTGAATCATACTGAAGGAAACGCATCACCAACAAACGGCAGCACATAAAAAAGACGAGAGCCTCAACCAACCCAGTGTTAGTGATGTCATCACTTGTTGTAAGCACGGTTATAGTTAGTATTTAGTATTTAGTATTTATTTATTTATTGTCATTGTCAAGAACAATGAAATTGCGTTTGGGGCTTCCATACAACCCAAAAAAAGGAAGAAAATAATAAATACCCCTTAAAACCCAAGTGTACATATTTAACCCAGTGTGACTCCAATGCAATAAGACAATCCTTAGCAATAATGTTCGTAGAAATTCAGACAAAGACCTGAGAAACATGACAAAATACAACAATGCAACCTATTCAATATTATTGTACTGTGAGATATGATATCAGATATGATATCAGATATGATAGTTATCTATTTAAGAAAGAAAGAGGGGGGGCAGGAGGGGGAAGAGAATAAAGATATGATGCACCAATGCAGACCAGTTCATTGCTATTAAGAAGTTGGATATGGTTATTGTCCGTGAGAGGGGGGCAGAGAGTTCAGGAGCCTCACAGCCTGTGGATACAGGCTGTTGGCCAGTCTGGATGTTCTGGCCTGTATAGACCTGTACCTTCTCCCTGAGGGCAGCAGATGGAAAAGGTGGCGCGCAGGGTGATGTTGGTCCCGCAGGATACTGTGCACCCTCCTCAGACAGCGAGTGGGGAAGATATTACTGATCTCTGGCAGACTTGTTCCAATAATTCTGCCAGCTTCTTTCACCACCCGCTGGAGTGCTTGCTGATCGGCCTTGGTGCAGCTGGGGAACTACACTAGAAATCCATACGTCAGAACGCTGCTGATGGCACAGTTGTAGAAGTTCAACATCAGAGATCTGGGAATGTGTGCGCTCCGCAGTCTCCTCAGGTAGTAGAGGCGCTGTTGGGCCTTCCGTACAACTGAGGTGATATGGTTGCCCCAGGACAGGTCCTCGGTCACAGTTACCCCCAAGAATTTAAAACTGCTCACCCTCTCCACCGCCTCACTGCCAATGAAGAGAGGCAGATGGTTGTTATGACCCCTCTTCCGGAAATCTACAATGATCTCCTTGGTCTTTTTGGTGTTTAAGACCAAGTTATTGTCGTGGCACCATGACTCTAGTTGTTGCACCTCTGTCCTATAGTTTGTCTCATCGTTGTTGGATATAAGTCCGAGCACTGTGGTGTCATCTGCAAACTTAACAATGAGATTGGACGCGCAGGAGGAAATACAGTCATGGGTGAAGAGAGTGTATAGCAGAGGGCTCAGAACACACCCCTGAGGGGCACCGGTGTTGACCACAAGGGTGGAAGAGGTGTTCTTACCCACTCTGACACTCTGTCTACGGTTAGTGAGGAAGTCCACAATCCAGTTGCACAGAGAGGAGTTAAGTCCCAGTTGGTGGAGTTTGGGACGGAGTTTGTATGGCCGGATGGTATTAAAAGCCGAGCTGTAGTCTACAAAGAGGAGCCGTGCATAGGTGTTCCTGTGTTCCAAGTGCTTCAGTAATGTGTGCAGCACTGTGGCGATCGCATCCTCGGTTGACCGGTTCTCCCTGTATGCAAACTGGTGCGAGTCCAGGGATGGTGGAAAAGCAGCTCTGATGTGTTTAATGACCAGTCTCTCCAGGCATTTGGCGGGAATGGGGGTGAGTGCCACAGGTCTGAAATCGTTCAGACATGTGACATTTGACTGTTTTGGGATGGGAACGATGGTTGTTGCTTTGTAACCAGATTTGTTGAAGTGTCGCTACATTGTGACAGCAACATCTTCATGTTTAGGTTTTTCCACAATTACAATCCTCACATTGATCCATTTTCAGGTAGGAGAACTATACTTCCTGAAACCTGGGATTTTTTCACAGCCTCCTCCATGCCACAAGCAAAAGTCCTGGAATAACCCCTGCCTGTCTTACACTGTGGAGATAGCGATCTGTTATACTTTTGATTTGATTATACTTGGCATAACATCTGGGGTGACAAAAAAAACTGTTATTCTTATTTATGGTCATGACTTTTTGTGTGTGTGGATGACTGAATGTAGTGTAAAGCGCGTTGGGGTCTTTAGGGACGAAGTAAAGCGCTACACAAATACAAATACAAATACAAATACAGGCCATTTTTACCATATTGCTGATATTTCAAGCAAACAATACATCAAACAATTTCTTTATTTCTGTAATTCTGGGCTAATACTTGTAACATTCTGAGCTATTTATATGTAATTTATCTCAGGGCAGTTAAATGTTTACTGTGAGATACTGTATCTTCCTTTAGTGATATTTTCTGTAATTCTTACATACAGATATATAATGAAGACAACACTAAATACAAGTATGCAGATCAGCACCAGAAGGTTAAATAGACTTGAACTTATCTGGGGTTTTCACAGGTATAGTTTATGATGTAAAAACACAGAATTTGTTGTGAAAATAAGATTTAAGGAAAAGCGCCCAAATAACATATATGCATGAGTAAGAGCATCCATCCTTCCTCAGAAAATATGCCCGAAAAAGCCTTGCAAAAAAGCAAATTACTCACCTGTTGTAGAAAGACTGGCACACCTGTGGCTGTTAAATCCTTCTTCACAGTGTGCTTCTTGAGCTCCAAGCTGAGAGTTTAAAAGTCCCGGCGAACAACAGGAGCAGAGAGCTCAGGATGCTCA